CTAGCAGTGCCACTTGAAGAGGAACGGAGTCCTATGAGTTATAGTGATTATATATTATATTTCAAGCAAAGCACTTGTATGAATATATATGGAAAGAGAATATTCTTTTTATTTTTGAAAATAGGGTAAAATCGAATGCCACGCCTATAAAAATTGTATAAAACTATTCAAGAGACGTGCCATAGCTGTGCTAGCTAGTTTGTGGGATGTGGGAGGGGTGCTTTATTTTTGCTTAGGGAGAATTTTTTGCGATTGCTCTAGTTAGGGGTTAGGGATTCTAAGTGCAAAACAATTGAATGCAGATAAGCGATGTAACCTATTTAACCTTGTATCGAGGACTTCGGAATACGCATCGAAATTAAATTAATTTTTTCCTAAGGTATATATATATAGTTTGAGCGCTGACGACAATTACATTACACGACCTCTTCATAAGCAATACTTGAACTCAAGATAAAGTTACATGTTTTATGGGAAAAAGTTATTATATTAATTAATTGAAATTAATTATTTGTGCTTTCTTATCATTCAATGCAATTAAATAAATTTTAATGAGTGTATTTTGCATTCCTGAGATTCTTTGTCTGACTGGAAATTGCTGCAAGGCTGTAAGGACCTAATATCAGACGAATAATACGAGAAAATGTAATTTGTTGCGGCTCTACTCTTTCTAGCACTCTTGTCAGATGATTAAAACGCGACGATAAACTATGATGATGATGATGATGATGGTGTCATGTTAATAACGGACAAAGAGTGGCTAATAGAATAAAAATAATTCCCATCAGGATAAGCAAAAATACGTTTGTTTGATTTTATTTTTTTTTTTTTTTAGTTTTTATTTAGAAATAAACGTCGCCTCTTAACAATCCAAAAGTAATTATCGTAAGAAAAAAAAAAAAAAATGATATCCATATGTCTTTAAAGTACTCGTGCACTGGTTGGTTGTTCAAAATTAAATAATATATTTAATTAATCAAGTAAAAAAAAAAAAGGTTAATTTAAAAGCACTTTGGCTATATTATAAACGTAATATGTTTTTAAAGCCATGGATGCCAAGCTGGATCCATACGACATAAGTTATCATGGTTTGTAGCAGTCTGTAATAAAATTGAAATTTTCTTCGATTCGACATTATCGAAATACGAAATTGCTGTTAACCGTTTCATGATGGCATTCACCGCTCTATTCACCATATGCTTCATATTTTCAGTTGTGTTCGCGTCGGCAGAGCCATCTTCCATAGCATCGATCGGTTTATTGTCGCGCATACGTTTCTTGTGCAGGGCGATGATTTCATCACGTAATATAGTGCGTAAAATAGCGCACAACTTATAATTAGGATGAACAAAACAACGAGCTGTCGCGATAATAGCTGCCGATAGTGGCCCAGCGATTCCGATTTGCGTCAAAAATTCGGCAATATTTGGTGTCAAGCGGAATGGCACCGGTCGGCTATGATCTAGCTCTTCTTTTTCATCATTGATATCGAATTTAAAGTAAGAGACATTCATGAGTCCAGAATCCTGATGAATATAAATCATGTCGGTATTGAGACGAGTTAAATGTAAGGCATATTCACACAGGAAAGCCAAAGCCAATTGCAGTGTCATCTGTATAATGGAACAGTTTAGTGATTATTGAATGAAAAATATATATAAATAATGAACACGAACTTACCATTTTACGGAATTGCCAAAAATCGGTTGCCGATAAGAATGTCTTTAGAGCCCATTGTTTAAGTAATGTTTTGGGTACCATTTTATTTTGTATTTCTTGGAATATGTCACGCAACATCACTAATGTGATTTGAGCTCCTTGGGATTGCACTTCCGACAAACGCTCATAATATTTCATGATCGGTAAATCATGCTCGACTTCCATTTTGGCGCAACTGCTTTTATAAATTTCATACAAAGATATGCTGGCCGGATTATCTTCCGCTAAACGCATTTGCGGCGAAATAGGTACAACGCGTGGTACAGTTATGTTCAAAAATCTTCTCGTAGTCTCTTTTTGTTTTTCCAAATAATAATTCAACATGCGCAGCAGCTGAAGTACACGTTCTTCCCGACGTGCATCTCCCAGTCCAGTATCAATTACAACCAAATACGGATAAATTTTACCATTTGTACCCCTTATATGCAATCGCCGAGCAGCGGTATTATTCTTTTGTACTATTTCGACTCGTGGCATAAAACGCGATATACGAATGTGATAATGAGGAGAGGACGGTATCAGAAATTCCCCAGGTAATTCCACTTCAGCAGTCTTTTGACTAAAATTCGATAAAAAACGGCATTTGTCTTCGATGAGGAACGATGTAGGCAACTTTTTCACTTTAATTTCCAAAGCCTTGATCCATGACTTAAGTTTGGTAATTAAATTGTGCAATTTCATCGCTCCCGGTTTAGTAAAATCAAAATCTCGTGTAAATTGTTCCTTCATCAGTTGAAAGGCAGGATCTTGGAAAGTCACTTGGGCTCGTCTTGCTAAAGACTCGGAAGCTGCTGAATTCGATGTTGACGAAGCCACAGAACCCGGTATGTTTTCGATACCAATGCCGAAAGTGGAACCCAGCTTTTTGACAAAATGCAAAGTGTGCGGGGTAATTGTCGCTTCACTAACTGTACTTCGAGTTTCAAAAGCAATGGCATAACATTTTATAAGGCCTTGGCGCAGCTGCCGTAAAACTTCCTCGGTCCAACTCTCTCTAAACCAAACCATTTGATCGACAATGCCTTCTAAAGAACTCAAAATAATCGGATGAATTTCCCTTTGTACGTGCATGACTTTCGAACATCGCCACATGGGAGGGGTAGCTTTAATCGGATTAACCGAAGCTGGACCTGCAGCGGGATTTGAGGTGGAGGCGCTTGATGTAAAAACTTGATTTATGTTGCTTTCCAAATTCTTCGAAAGAAAAAACAAAAGGAGTGATAATATTGACAAAAAGAAAAACCGTATTGATTAGATAATGCGTACATGGGAATGGGCCGGTTTACCGGAAGCCTGTTCAGCTGTTTTGTGTTTTTCCCTCTGTTCAATTTTTAACGTTAAATACAAAGTCCTAATAGGAAAGTAAACAGCCTGGGGATACAGTCTCCCTACCTGCAATTACGGTAATAATAATTCGATTAAGTGTTGAGCGCATATTGTCATACTAATCGACTTACATGACTGAGGAGATTTAATATCACATTCCCTTCGTATTGCACTAAGCAGCACAGCAATTGCGGTATCCAAGGCAACCAATAAGAGTGCGGTACGCCCATTACATATTTGTCCAATGTACTCATTAATGTACTATTCGCATTATCATATGATAATAGCCATAGAACCTTAGCCAAGTATTTACGAGTTTTACTCTCGCTTTGATGACGACAAGCATGTAAGTAGCACGTGATTGCACTTACACCTAAAGCTATTTGCTTGTCTCTTAAGAACATTTGTTCCATATAATCACCCCACATCGCCCACGCTTTTGTTAGACCGTCGTGTAATTGCACAGCCGCACTGAAGGCTTTGCCAGCCTCTTCAGACCGCCCTATTTTCGCTAGCAATAAGCCTTTTAGAGCGTAAAACTCTGCATTCATCTCGGCTGTAAAGTATTTTAAATTTGTGGATTCTATGACTTCCAAAGCCTCATTTAAATCGTTATGGCCGGAAGAAGAGGCGGTTTGGATATAACATTTTACTTGTTGGCGAATTTTCTAAAAGTACACAAAAGTTGATTTAACTTCACGATATTTGCTTTTTATAAATTTGCGTAATTACCTGGAAACAATCGACAATTGGTACCGAAGGTATGGTATAAATTCGTGATAAGGTCTCTTGGCAGACACCTGTCAAATTGTGTTTGCGTGCAATCTTTCCAAAATAAATTATGGCTTGGGCAGAAGCATGTACGCCCAACATTGTATTACCCTGATCGGGTTGTTGTTCTAAATGCTGAGTTATGATCTGATAATGATGTTGACGCCAAGTAAATATATCCGACCAGTGCGACAAATCATCGGCTATGACAGGTAAACGATTTCTCCAAGTCTTCACAATGGCTTTCATATCATGCAAAGACGTACTACGTGATTGCAATAGCCCTTGATGTATCTGGCTGGCTTCATGTAATTCAATAATTTGTTGGGCGGCTTGCAAATACTGCAAATGTATATGAGATACAATGTGTGGCAGCCTACGCCATTCTCTTATGCAAAGGCCCGAAGCTACTTCTACATATTTATCCACACTGCACAACTGCCTTTCTTCAGGATGCAAAATGGCTAAGAAGCCGCGATAAAGATTCACTTTGAAGCCATACAATTTTGAATAGGCCTGTTCAATTTTCAATAAAGCTTTCTTCATAAGATTCCAGTCGGGGACACGCCAAGCACTCTCCATAATAAGTATTTCATTTTGCTCGCGATTCGCCTGAGCATAATCTAGCAGTATTTCCCATTGGTTGAGTTCTTTAGCACAACGTATCCAGTGTTGTTCCCAAAGCATAACTTCGCTATTCATATTTGTATTGCATGGACCACTTGATAGATCATCCTTAAATTTGGACATGGCCAAATCGTAAGCGCCTTGAGCCTCCTCAAAGAAGCCCATCTGTTCATAGCAAATAGCAACATTTGTCTCCGGATATTGGGCATATTTCATCCATAAACCGGCCCAAAGATCCTCCTCGTGCAAGGCTGAATACATCTGGGAAAGTGAATCATAAATTGTTGATTGATTGGCATTATAATCCTGCTGATGTTCGTTGTAATCCATATACAGATGCTTATTAACGTTTTGCTTAGCCGACATTTCCTCTAAAACTAAAGTCATACGGTGCCATAAGTTATGAGCTTTGCCCAGATATGTGCATAAATTTGGAGGTATATAAATCTTGGGATTGCATTGAGTAAGACCCTCTACAAAAGTGTTGATAGCGCTGGGTGAACAATCTCTCTGAACCGTATTTGTGCCTGAGGACAAAAACGGTATTAGCTCTTTTATGATAGTGTGCTGCTGGTCGCTATTAAATATTGACCAAATTCTTGGGAAAATCGCAAGCCATATGCTCTCTGCCAAACTAGTATCCATGTGGCATAATTGTGAGATGGCGACCAATAATTGATCGGTACGTATCTTTCGGCTAGTTTCCAAAAATTCAATTTGCCTATTGATCAGTTTGCAAATTTTCGTTTTCCTTATTGGTTGCATACGTTCACTGTCGTCCGGCTGTGAGTTAATGAAATCCAAATTCAAATCAACATCAAATTCTTCATCCTTATCGTCTATAATCTGAGTCATATCCATACAGTCGACTTGCGAAGATGTGTAGATAACGAATTGACTTTTCTCCTCATTATCAGCCATATTTATAATCGAAGTAATGCTTGGAATTTTATGCATATCGTTTGAATTTTGTATCGGCGTCATTGTATTCGCAGTCAAAACTAAAAGTTCAATGCATTGTTTGATCCAATAATGAGTACCAATTGAATCCCAGGCTTGTGAACATATGATATATAATAAACGGTCATGCAGTCGACGTCTCATTGAAGCATCAATAATTTCAAAGAATTTGGCTCGAATGGTTGGATTTTGACCTCGCAGTCCCGTAAGAAAAGCTCCCTCCAATTTGGCGCTCAATTCAGTTTGTTTTAAATATTCGTCGCGATATATGTAATTGATCATTTCCAGAAACTGCGTGTGCAACTCAACATCGTTAAAGAATTTCTTCTCCACATACTGCATCAATTTAACCAGCAAAACGGATTTCTCTCGTATGGATGGAATTTGAACCATCGGGTTTTGCTCTCTTACCCGTATCCAATCGTCCAACATTTTCACAATACACTTCAGTATTTTCACATCATTACTTTTTTCAATAAGAGAAACAATAATGCTACCTATCAATAGTTTCCTCACCTCCACACTCATAACTATTATACGATTTTTAATCATATCCAAAGATAATATAAGTAATTCCAGTGATAAGTGATTTCCCTCTGAATTCGAATTGATTTGATTGCTATTCTGCATCGCAATATGTTCCTTTGTTAAGCGATTTAAAACTCTTATAAATTGCAACATTAGCCGATCTATATATTCTGGATTGTTGGCGCAGCAAGCCTTCAATATCATAAGAGTACCGAAAAGAGAAGAGGGATTCGGTTGCGGGCTTTTCTCATAAAATGTTAAATTGTCTACCACCGTTTTACTGATTGCACTGTATAACACATCCAAATCATCGTTTTTATGTTGCGGATCGGGTGGATATAATGTCATTAGGCGTGTAATCAGAACGTGCATAAGTCGAACAATTTTTGTATTTTGATGTACGACACACGTTGATAGACCTTTTTGAATAGGCCGTATAATGGTCAATAATTGATCTGGTTTCATGATACTGGTTAAGAAGGTTAAGAAATCTAACGCGGTACATGTATTATTAAGATTTGTACTCGGATTTTCGATAGTATTGAAAATTTTATCCATCCAATTCAATTTGAGTTCAAAGGGTTGAGGCCAAACATCCGGACGCATAGCGGTCTTCAATAAAATAATGCATCTAGAAGAGTATAAAATAATTATCGGTGTCACAATCGCATAAAAGACAAACCAAATAAATCTTACCGTCTGGACAAATTATCACCGGAATTTAAAATTGTTGGCTGACTATCGTTGACCTGACATGCTAATCGAATAAGAAAATTTAAAACAGTATCACAATGAACTTTACCGATGGAACGACAAGTTTCGTCTAATTTAACACTTGAAGAAGCTTCGGGCATACCTATAAAAATAAAAAATGTTTTTTAAACTAAGCAAAATGAATTAAAGAAGAGAAAATTATGTAATTACTACAGTTATTTCCAAAGATAAACGTGTAAAAACCCCATAGTAGAACACGGCTCACCGTTAAGTACTAACTTATACCTTTTCGCTTACGAGTTATTCATACAATGACTTTTCAAAATAAGACCTCATATGGTGAGTGGGCAAAAAGGCGATCGGATCGGAGCCATTTTCGATAGCGTTCATCCTTAGGACGAAAATTTCGCTCTCCCTAAAAAAATATCTCAAAAATTGCGCTTTATAAAGTGAATAAAAAATACAAGACAGACAGACATCTAGATATAATAAAAGGCGAAGAAGCTTGTGGGTATTATATATATTCGCACAAGCTTAAGATACCCTTGTACCACTAGTGATGCAGGGTATGAAAACGGAATTATGGATTTTGATTACGCCAAATGGATCGACACGGAAAATCGACTTTCACCGAGAGCAAGCGAACCAAATTCGTCGTCCAAAATTTCTTTTACTTACTGTTACGAGCGTTCTCTACAGCCAGCTTTTTGCGGTAACTTTCCGCATAATCTTCATTGCAACTTCTTTTTAAAGCAGTCTTGTCATCTCCGTCTTCTTCCATGCCGCCTGATAATATCTTGTGCTCTGTTTCGTCTTCTTTAATACGTTGCAATTCCCATTTGATAATAACTTCAGCTAAATCCACAGAGAGTTTTTTATGTTCCAAAGAAGCATTGGGAAGGAAACCTAAGCGTTGCATATAATTGACCAAATGTGTAACCAATTGATGACGTACAGGGAAATAAACCTGTTCACAGATAGAAATAAATCTATATATAGTACTCTCATTAAGAAGAAATTTTTACCTTGTAGTGTCTCACAATGAGTTGTAAAATATGGAAAAGTTGCTGCATGGAGTGACCCTCTTCAACAATTATCTTTTTCGTCCAATGTGTAAGCATAGTGTTGCCGTCCTCCATACGTAAAGGCATAGCTGGGGTTAGAACATCTAAGGCTTGCCTTACAACGGGACGAGCTTCTAAGGCGTGACCTTTTAGCAGAGAATGAAAAACTTGTAGTACAATTTTCTTATGTATAGCCAAACGCGCTATTATATGAGCTAACAATAAATGGCCGTGGTATCGGGCAGTGGGATCAACCGAATTCTTGCTTAACAAGCACGGCCAAGCGAAGGTCATAAGGCGTCTTAATTTATTTCCCTGCCGTTTATTGTTAGCATCGCCGTCATGTATGTGCTGCGATGCCCGCTCCACAAGCAAGCAAGCAAATTGCAGTAGAGCAATGCGTACAGCATCGTCGTTAGCATACGGTTTATCGGGATCGAAAACTTTACTTATAAACACAGAAACAATGTTAGTATCATCTTCCTGGAATGGTGCCGGAGGAGCCCCAATTAATTTATTCCCCTCGCCCTTGTCAAAACTCACTATAAAACATGGTATTAGAATGGATGTAATGATTTTTGCTTTTAATTCTTCCGATAAAGTGGCATTGTTGAAATTATCTACAAAGTAAAAGAAGGCTGTACGCTTCCATAAAACCGTGTAACTCTGGGCGACTGTGTTCTGCAGGAAATCCCTTAGAAAGTGAAAGTCGGGTATAAAGTGTAAGCATAAGGCTCTCGACAGTTGAAAGAGCAGCTCGATTTCATGGCTGTTGTGCGAAAAATACTTAAGTAATATTTTGCCCACGAGATGCCATTTATAGCTTATCACATTCTCCTGACAGCTGCTTGTCAAGTGGAATTGCCACAATTGCTTCAATGCATTAATCAAATCCGTTTGCGTTGCTATCCATTGATCATCACATTCCATTAAAGCGAATACAATTTTTATGGCTTGTTCTTGAGCCTCTTGTTTTCGTGATTCACTCATTATTGAGAGCTCGATCTGAGAGTTACTAATTAAACGGATTAATGTCTTGCAACATTTCGGTGACTTTAATACCGTATGAAAGACTTGACCGTCTTTTTGTTTAAGCAAGTAGATGAAGAAGCGGTTCCATTGCGCGTCAACCACATAGTTGTCGGAAAGAAAATATTCAACAGTATCAGCTGGAAAGCGTAATAAAAACTTAAATAATGGTGCTCGATACGGCGACGATGACTCTATCATAAGATTCTTTTCAGTTTGTAAAACCAATTGGCATAAATTTTCAATGTATTTGGGTGTAGCGGCGGTAATTTGATGAAACATTTCAATAAAGCAGACAACCTTTTGTTCATATTCGCCTCCTTTAATGGCAGAGAAGAAATTGCCACCTTGCTTGCAATTCTGTATCGAAATCTCCAGCATTTTCTGGCAATGTTGTAAAGTATTTTCGATTAACATTTCATTAAACATTTTGGGAAAGAGTTGGGTGAAGTAAGATAAACGTTTGGTTGCCGTTAACGACAAATTCCTATGATCTCCCAGAGTATTTAGTAAAGGCTTGATATAATTTTGAATTTCTTTTTTATCGACTTGAATACCCGCATTGAATCTTTTCATGCATTGGAAAGCGGCTTCTTGCAGTTCAGGTTTCTTATGTTCCAGCAGTTTAAATAAAATGCTTATGATTTTATCCTTATGTTGACTTTCGTTTATATAATGACAAGCAGCCAAAGCTTTCAAAGCACTAATCCGCAATGGTATCAAGTTGGATACATTTTTATAACAATCCAATTTAAAAAGAGCTGAGTCCTCAGCCTCTGATAATGTAATTAATTCATGAAAGAATAATTTGTGATAACTATTCGCTAAGTTGATGGTAAAGAGGCGAGGCTCAAGCGTTGTGCAAAATGTGTTGCCTTCCATTAAACCAATTTGAGCATTAACTGGTTGATGTCTTAAGAGATGCTTCTTCGGCGGTATGATATCTGCCAACACGTCTTTGTGCGGATCCATCACATCCGAAACTGTACGATTTTGAAGGGTGGCTATATATTTGAGAGAAGCCATTGATTCTTGACGTACCAAAGAGTTAGGACTGGTGACCTGACGTACAAGTTCGTGGATGACATCGTAAGTAGCTTTATTTTTAATATTCATAATTTCTTCGTTCTCGTAATCCTTCGGGCTCATGCATAATTGGAGAAGTGCACGCAAATTGGTTTTAGCTATATAAATAGCGCCGTTGGACACTTCACCTTCCAAATCCATTAAAACAAACATAAATGCCTTCACAAATGAGAAGAGGTGCTGATATAACGATCTTAGCGAAAAATGCTGGTACAAAAATTGTATGGCCTTACAACCGCCTACTTTAGCATACCACGGACGCTCATAACAAAGGGCAGTCATTTTCTCAGCCAAGTACTGCATTAAAGGTAAACGGCAAGCTCTCTCCTTGCTACCTAATATATTAGCAGATGTATCGAGTATTAAACCAATGCACAATTGACCAGGTTTGCACAACTCTTTCTCCTCGTGGCCCATGCAAACGGACAAGGCATCAATCAATACCAAAGGGTCTATACCACTCATCGAATAATATTGTTTGTATGGAAACGGACCTGCTTGTTGAGCTATAGCAATCATAGTATAATGGCGTACGACGGCTACCATAACAGGAAACACGCATTCACGTAGATCCTTCGTCGCGGAAGCGACGAACATTCCCGTCAACGCATTTTGTAATGTTTTTCGAGCTTGATTTTCTTCGATTTTGTTTTGAATCACCGGCACATTGATAATACTATTATCGAAGAAGCTTGGATGCAAAAAGAATTTTTGCAAAGTATGCTTTTCATCATCCAAATTAATCGAAGCAGCCAATACGCAACGTATAACCTCCCAGCTTTGTCGTCTATAAAAGGCATCCGTCAAGTTAGAGCTTAAAGCAACAAACGCTGTTTCAACTGCCTTGTCAATGGGAAAATCAATTGGCCTTTCGTGTTCTTGGAAATATGCTACCACGGCAGTAGGTTGAATTTCGCTATTAACATATTGTATACCTTGGGGTTCAGTCATCATTTTACGATTACCGCCACCAAATTTACCCAAGACACGGAAAGCGACTAAAGGTGCATTATCCGGGTTACGTAAAGTCTTCCAGAGGGCTTGCATAAGAGCAGCACGTACGGGTTGTATATGGTCATATAAGAAATCCGGTTGCAAATTATCAACACATAATTCCAACGTTCGTAAACCCTATAATCATTAATAATAAATTATTAAATTTAAATATAAATATTGAAACAACATTTTTTGTGAAATTTTTTCTCACCTGACTTACTAAAGTATTCGAACCGTTTAAAGCGGAAACCAAAGGATCCATAAGCATCGGTAAATAAGGCAACAAAGACGACAAACGCACTGGCACTGTTAAACACAATTCGACAAATAAATCTTTCATGTGTTGTTTATGGAAACCGCTTTGCAGGCGATTCAAACCCTCCAGTAAATTAGGCAGTAATGGCAAAAACTCCTGATACAATAAATCGTGAGAGCCTCCGCCAATTGAACGGAATAAGGCTCTCAGCAAGAGGAAGTAATTGTAAGGCTCCTCAGCTGTTAAAGCCAATTCCATCGACTGATTAACAATGTTGTGCAAATGAGGGCGCAGCATTTGTTCATTTTCGACAGGAAATAAACTAACGCTACCGAATACCAACTTGAAAAGCCTTAGATATAGATTCGATCTTTCCACGTTAGTACCCATTTCGTGCATTTTACCCAATAAATATTCCACAAGAACCGTAGCAAATAGAGGAGAAGTTACGGGATTAGCTAAAAAAGAATTGGCCACTATTTGCAGTGACGGATTCTTGTGTATGCGTTCAACCATGTAATCAATCGTCGTAGCAAAAACCTCTTGAAAATTTTGTGAGTGCATCATAAGAAACTAAAATTGCAAGAAATTAGTATAAAAATGTAAAGTTATCTCAATTGACTACATACAATTCCACTGAAATGCTCGAGAACTTCTTTCTCTTCTTTGGTGCGCGTAGCAACACCAGAAGTTTTCGGTTGATTGTTTGGTGAAGTATTAATAGAATATATATCCAAAGCTTCCATTGCCCAATGAACTAAATCAATATAAATACTGACTTCGTGCGGTTGAAAGAGTTTTTCTTGCTTGAGTTTAATAACATCAACCATCGGTGACTGAAATTAAATATTATATGCAGAGGTTAATTAAATAAAAATCTAATTCTAGATAAAATTTATATTGTGTTTTCATTCATTTTTCGCTTTAAAAGTTAAAAACTATTACCAGCTGAGTGACTACTACTAAGAGTATCAGGGAGATCCTCAATTAATAGCAATTAATAGCTTGACCGGAATATTATGACAGCTTTCTTATTTTTTCTCAAGTCTGAGAAAGTCTATGCCGAAATGAGAAAGAGGAATAAAAAAAGGTAAAGCTACGACATCCCAATCCATCTGTCAACGAATGAAGGAGCTTCTCAAGATTATCAAGAACTAGTGCTACAACTATTAGGAATTCATTAAGATATCTGTTTGATGTTGCAAAGCGGGTCCGTCATTTTGCTACCTTTCACAAAGATCAAGACATTATCAAACCTAGACGCATACATATGTGGCAATTTTGTCAACCCTTTGGTGTTTTTATGATCAGAACGCAATATATTAACCCTAATAAAAAAGATCGCCCGAAATGCTAAAGTATATAGATACGAATTGAATGAATGAAATTTGTACGAATGACATGATTCCAGATGAAAAAATTCCCAAGAACATCATAAGTGTGCATATTTACCTCTCTTACCTTCGAGCTTACAAATCCCCATGTTATTGTTTTAACACCACCCACCAAAGTTTTAACCAGACTTCGATATTCGACTACATTTAAGGAACAAAGCATCTGATTGCCGATTATATTGGTTTTTGAAGTTTGTTCAGTAGTAGTTGATTCCTAAAATTTCCATAACAATGAAAATTGGCATAAAATAATCCCTTAAGTAATTAAAAACTCACGATAATAGTCTCTTTGCTATCCAAAGCATTCGAACCGCTGCTACTGGTAGTAGCGTTTGAGGCATTTGCTCCAGTGGTTTGTCCTTTTCTGCAACGCAAACAATTATTTCCTAAAACGTAAAATATTTAGTTAAACAATATTTACAATTTCTGTGTTATTGTCGGTAATGTTATGTTGGCTATGGTCTGAAACTTGTACACAAAAACTTTTAGTAATGTGGTTAGGAGACTGCGGGCTTTTATCGGTTCCACTTCACTATGTTGGCGTACGCAATCTACCAAATTGAGGAGCAGCTTGCAGGACATTGTTTGTATGCCGGTGGCCAGGGTCTCATCATGGACATTCTTTGAAAACAATTTTATGGCCTTCTCTAAAACGTCCAAGCTTAAACTTTGGCGTACATGATGAGCTAAATCAGCTAAGGTTGAATAAGCTAAAGGCCTTATTGAATCTAATGTAACGCCTTTACCAATAAGTAAATCTTCATCAAATAGACGATGAATGTGGGGTATAAACTCTGGGATAAATAAGGAAACACTGTTAATTAATTCATTAATTATCGAAAAGTTTGCCAACAGCATACTTTGCCTCAAATCGGTAGCGAAAATGTGACGAGCTGCTATTAGCAATTCTTTCCTTAGATGAGCAGCTTCTTTAGGGCATAAATCCATTAGTTTTAGTATACCGCTGGTAACCAAAGCTGAATGTGTCATAATAGTATCCTGAAAATTATATATGGAAATTAATTAAATATGAATAATTAATTTTATCAAAATTTACCTGAAATAGCCTCACTATGTAAGCTAAAAAGGATAAAGTTTTAATTTGAGCCCCCATGAAATCAATAAAGATTTCCTTATTAAAGTATTGAGAATTTCTAAATATTTATGTGAAAAATATGAAAATTTATATGACCATTTTCATGTCTTTATTTAATTTTTACCTTTGCGTAACAGTAGGTTGCAAATTAATCGTCTCCATTATAAGGGGTATAAATTCGGATACCTCTTGGTGGACAGCATTTTTGTATATTTGATACATAAGAACCACTATGATTGGCAACTCCTGTAATACTCTTAAGGAGAGCATTCCTTTTGGTAATAAATTATACTGCGTAAGATAAATATATAAAATCCACATTATCACAATTAAGGCAATCAACTTACTTGTATAGTACCCGTATCATTAGGATTTTCTACATGTATTGATCTAATGGCATAAGTTTCCGCCAATAATTGCTCCATATTCAGTTCATTTAAATCTTTAATCCTCAATTGTTGAGCTGGCTCAAAAATTTTATTCATATGGTTCGGTAGTTCTGTATAGATTTTCTTAACCAAAATCAGAAATTTTTGCACCTAACATAAATGGTTTTAATAGAATCATTTGTTCAAATTACAATTGATTAAACTCACTTCGGGATTGAATGAAGGTCGAAAGTTTTTATGCAATTCTATGATAATACGTAAACTCACGAGAACATTTTCTTCATTATCAATTTGCAAAATTTTCAACATTAGTGAAATAATGGATTTTACATGTTGCCTAAGATTTTCGCTTATGGGCAAGCGGTGAATCATTTCCAAAATCAATTTACGTGCCTGAAAAGAAAATAAAAAAGTAAAATAAATAATCAAATTTCTTTCCACCGCTCACTAATCTCTTAAAAAAATGACAACAATGCGTCAACTAACATCTAAAACCTGAAGATGCACAACTTCTTATAATAATTATAGTAACGGATCTAATATAACACATAATACACAACGAAACTTGTGTAGGGCCCACCACATGACTTTCGGCGAGACGCACAAAATCAATCTTTTGGTCCTCTCGATTAACGGCTGATTGCCGGCGATTGACTTATGCAAGGTCACACACTGTAAAAACTGATTGGCTTTAAGATATTTACACATCCGGTAAGCTTCAAACTTAGTGCTAAGTCTTCACCAATTTTCGTTTATTATTGCGTGTCCTTTTTTCCAAAACAATTCTCTTGTTTACAATTTATAAACACGTCTCGGTTTATTTTCAATTTCTGAAGTTAGAAAAACCATGAATGCAACAAAACATAAACAATACCCCCACCCCCACATACTCTAAACACAACTTTTTACACTTTATGTGCTACTTCATTCAATTACCTGATGAGCGTGCCATTCTTGCATAAATTTTGGCTCACCATCTTGCAGAAAATGCATAAACGCCTTTAAAGAATGTTCCAAAAATGTCGGATATGAACTCGATTGAACAACTACTTCAAAATGTTCACTTATGTCTTGAGCGGCTCGTAATTTCTGTTCATCATTCGATTTATTGTCTGCGAGAACCGCCACATAGCTGCGAAAAGTGTTTAATTGAAAACTTTCCGCGTGCGTCATTTTTAAATGTGTTTATTTTATCTTAAATCATTTATTAGCACGACTTCTCATGAAAACTTTGCAAAACTTTAAAAACAATTCGCGAAATTATGTATGCATTGACAAGAAGAACAAAAAGAAGAAAGTGACAGTGTTTGTTGAAAAGAGCGCAGAGAATGTTGTCTCATCTTCTTCTTCTTCTGAAAATCAGTAAATAAACTACGATATGTGTCTAAAAGCAATCAGCTGATCTAAGACCGTATGTCAAAATGTTAACGAACATACTCCTTAGTTACGGAGGAATATTTAAATTAACTGATTAAGTATAACGAGATAAATACCATTTGCACTTTATATTGCTGTGATTATAAAAATCCTCAAATCATTTAATATGTTTGTATAACCTCTGCTTTAAGTATAAGACATGCGCACTAATTATGTTTCTTCTACTTCTCTTGTTCAAATTTATACGCTTAGATGCTACCAAATTCTTAGTCGTTTTTTTTAATGCAACAGCTGTTTACAAATACAGACTGACTTTTTCAATTATTCTCAATTGTAAACAAATACAGACCGACTTTTTGAATTATACTCAATTGTAAACAAACACAGAGTAACTTTTTCATTTATTCTCAATTGTAAACAAATACAGACCGACTTTTTCAATTCGCGTTTGTTTAGATTGCCGGTAATGGTAACTCGAAACTGGAAAAAGATGCTGGGCTTTTCCCAAAGAAAGCTCTGATTGTTTAAAAATTCAAAAGTGGTTTCAAAAAAGAATTCACCAGTCAATAGCGAATTTATAACCTAAAAATGAATTCATAAGTCAAAAATAGATTCATAACCATAAGCCTAAAATGATTTTGCAAACCAAAAAGCTAACTCCTAAATTAAAAACGGATTCACAAGCCAACAAAAGGATTCGTAACCTAAAACCGGTTTCACAAGCTAAAAAATGAAGCTAAGCCTATTCTTTAATCCACGAACTTTGCTCTTAGTTTTATCAGATAGTTTGTCTATTACAAAAGCTATCCGGAACTCTTTCAATTCCAATTAGAACACTAAAAAAGTAAGGAATATAGTAGCCACTTACAGAGACAAAATTACAATTTTTTTGGTACTGAATCACATTGATCCCTTCAGATATTATGTAACATTAATAAATAATAAATAAAACTATATCTAATTATTTAAGACATAAAAAATTTGAAAATTAAATTTATATTCCAGACCTGGGGATTAATGAAATTTTTTTTCGCCCGTCCTGTTAACACATTTCAGCATTTATATGTATGTGTTACAAATCAATTCTATCGAAAATTTTCCATCTCTATCGCTACCACTTTTTCAATGTTTTTAAAGCAATAAACAAATGGTTAATTTACTGGGATGTTTTAGGAAAATTCACTTAGTATCACATTTCTCTTGTTGTTTTAAATTTAAAGAAATGAAATATTTGAATGTAGCAGAAAAGAATGATGCCGCCAAAACCATTGCCTCACAATTGTCCAATGGAACCGCTCGACGAGTAAGTAAGAACTGCGGAACAAAGTGAAAAAGTCATGATTGAAATTTATTTACTTCAGCGTGAAGGTTTCTCGAAATTCAATAAAATCTATGAATTTGAGACGAATGTACGAGGCGTCAAATCAAAGATGATAATGACTTCAGTATCGGGTCATTTGATGCAATTAGAGTTTTTAAAAGCTTATCGTAATTGGCAGAATATTGATCCTCAGTCTTTGTTTGATGCACCTGTGCATAAGCGATGTGCAGCAGATTATGAACCAATCAAACGTACCCTAGAACGTGAGGTACGCAGTTGTCAAGGCCTCATTATATGGACAGATTGTGATCGTGAAGGTGAAAATATCGGCTTTGAAATTATCGATGTATGCCGTGCTGTTAAGCCGAACTTAACTGTTTATCGAGCCACATTCTCCGAAATTACTAGCACAGCGATAAGACGTGCTTTAAACAATCTCACAACTCCAAATAAGCATCCAAGTGATGCGGTAGATGTACGTACCGAACTTGATTTACGTACGGGCGCGTCTATAACTCGTTTTCAGACAATGAGATTACAGCGTTTATTTCCGGAAAAAATTGCCGACAAATTGATATCTTATGGTAGTTGTCAAATACCAACTCTTGGATTCGTAGCAGAGCGTTACAAGGAAATTGAGGCGTTCGTTTCGCAGCCATTTTGGAAAATAAAAGGTAAACAAATCATTCGAAATATGGAAGATCTCAATACAAGACTTTGTTGAAATTATACAAGAGTTTTTTGATTAAGTTTCTCATACTATTGATGACCTGACGGTGGATTTTCATTGGGATCGCAATCGTTTATTCGATAAGCAAGCCTGTGAAGATTACTACTTAATAGTTTTATCCAATCCAAACGCGATCGTTCAAAGCGTGACAGTCAAACCGAAAAGTAAGTGGCGGCCCACTCCAATGGACACAGTAGAACTGGAAAAATTGGGTTCACGTAAATTGAAATTACCCGCCAAAGAAATAATGACAATTGCCGAAAAGCTCTATACTAAGGGGCTCATAAGTTATCCGCGTACCGAGACAAACATGTTTTCAAAGGATATAAATTTAATGTCTGTCTTCTTCATGAAAGGGGCATATTTTTCTTCTAATTTATACTTTTGTTAAAGGTCAATTGTTGAAGAACAAGTCGAACATGCGATTTGGGGAACGTTCGCTCAGCGTGTAAAGGAATGGGGCCCTAATCCTAGAAATGGTAATAAATCGGATCAGGCGCATCCTCCAATTCATCCCACGAAAATGGCACATAGTAAGTTAACTCAAGAAAAAAAAAAAAAACAGAAAAAGGAATTTTTATGATTTAACGCACATCCTTTATAGACCTGGCTGGCAAAGAAGCAAGCGTGTACGAATTGATATGTCGTCATTTTTTGGCTTGTGTTAGTAAAGACGCTGTCGGATCTGAGACTATCGTTAATATTACCATAGAAGGTGAAAAATTCTCGGCTTCAGGTTTAGTTATTTATGAAAGAAATTACCTCGATGTTTACATTTACGAGAAATGGAATGCCAAGCGGATTCATCACTACGAAGAAAGTTAGAGAGAAGTTTTGTGTTGGAGGAAGTTTAAGAAGTTTTGTTAAAAAACTTTTTTATTAGGACAAGTTTTTCAACCTACTGAAATTGCTATGAACGAGGGTGCTACAGTTGCTCCGCCTTTGTTAACTGAAGCTGATCTTATAGCACTAATGGAGAAGCATGGTATCGGTACTGATGCAACTCATGCCGAACATATTAATACTGTAAAAGAACGTGGCTATATTGGCGTAGTGGACAACGGTGGCTTGGTGCCGGGTAAAAATTCTCATCGCATTTTAAAAAGTAGTTTTAACAGTTATGTTAAAATGGTGGCTTTAGCATTTTTATATTGTTAAATTTCTATTTTTATGTTATTAAAGAGAACAAAAACAGAAACATCTAATGGCCTCGCAAAATTACATAGTACGATTTTCTTATTCGATTTAAATTTTGGTTATTAATTAATTATAAATTATTCATTTATTTATTAAATTTATTTTTACATTGATTTGCATTAATTTAGATTAGTTAATTGATTATTAATAACGATGCACATTTCAAAATTGGTGGCCACGTGTTATTATTATTTATTTATTTGATTATTAAATTTATTTTTACATTAATTTATATTAATTTGGATTAATTAATTAATAATTAATTTAAAATGACAGGTGTCATTGGTATGGGACTCTACGAGAGCTACAATGCAATGGAACTGTCGTTAGCTAAACCCGCCTTACGAGCAGAATTTGAGGCCGATTTAAAACTTATTTGCTTAGGTGAGAAAAACGCCAGAGAGGTTTTGCGTCAACACATAATTAAATACAAGGAGGCTTATAAGCAAATTATGGATAAAGTCACAGCGATGGATGAAAAAATGTCTCAACGTATTAATGAGGCTCCCGTGATTAATGACCATAACGGTCTTGATGGCGCTTCTGAAAATAACCCAAGTCATTGGCAGGAATTATCAACATGCCCGAAATGTTCACAGGCACCTCTAGTTCTGAAGGCTAAGAAAAATCAAAGTGGATTTTTCATTGGTTGTCTTAATTATCCGGATTGTAAGAATGTCATATGGCTACCAGATGAATGCAGAGAACCCAAAATTCTAGACGAGAATTGTTCCAAATGTGGGACGGGAATTAAATTGCTCAAATTCAAATTTTCCAATCCATATCATAAAACTATCTTTAGTACTCCCAACGGTTGGTACAAAACTTGTCTTCATTGTGACGTTAATTTCCGCGAAACATTTAATATTAACTTGGATTGCATTATGAAAACGGGAACAATCGTCAGCGATTCGGGGACTGCCACTTCTCAAGCCCCACATGCAAACCAAAGTAATATGGGCAGTGGGACCAGGGCTGACTCCGGAAGAGATTCTCGCAATGAAAATGAGAATAAAACGGAACGCAAGAAAGCTACGAAAGCAAAATGTTCAGAAACTAAATCTGTAAGAACTAGAATAAAATCTTTATGCAGAGATAGACAGACTGGAACAGATTCGACAACGATGAAAGCAAAGAAAATGATGTCAAAAACAAGTAAGAACATTATAGGCCGACCATTTAATACCTTACATCACATTGTCTAAGGCAGTTCTTATTTTTATTCTAGAACACAAACGTTATATTCTATTTCTATATAAAGAGAAATTTTTCAAGTGTATATTTATGAGGAAGCAGGTCCAAAACGCAACTTAATGTAGTACAAGTTTAATCCTTACATAGGGCAGAACTCAAAAATAGGTGTAGATGGTCGGCATATTGTAGACTTCATTTTTGTATCAAATCACTGTAATATTATGGGTCAATTTTCATCGCCATACATTAAAACTTAGAATTCCTGCTCTATAAGGTGTCAATTTGTGAAAATCCTTATTAAGCTAGAATCCAAAAAAATAGGTCCAAATTTATTACTATTATGATATAATTTTCTTGATGAAGCATTGAAAATTTTACCTTTTTGTCGTGTGAACTTCAGCTTTCCTTATATGAGAGGATTCAAAAACTGCCCCAGCCGGTCCAAAGTTTCCATACCATTTCCAAGACTTGGCCGTTTTTACTGAGAAATCTGGAAAATTACAAATTTTTTTTGGCATGGGCGAAACTGGACTGATTCGAACCATTTTTAATAGTATTCGTCCTTGGGCCAAAATACCTCACTGTAGCAAATTTCATCGAAATATCTCAAGAATGGCGAACTGTAGCTTGAACACAAATTTATATGGATAAATATCAGACGGGTGGACGGATAGACAAGCTTAGATCAATTCAGATAATGATTCTGAATCGATCGATACAATAGAAGGTGGTTCCATCTTAAGCCCTTCTGCGTGTTATATACGACCGCACTAAGTTAAAACAGCCTGTACCACAAGTGATGTATTTTATAACAAATTTCCGTTCCTATACTACCTCGAATAGGTTTATAAATTTGACTTTTTTTGCATTAAAATGCATTTCTCACATTTTCAGCAGTAGCTTCTACTTCAAATGATGTGCAAACTACGGCAGAAATTGCTGAAGCAGAACTACAGAACGTACCTTTAGATGAATTTTTCGGAAGCACTGATGACTTCACAATGGATTTAAACAGGAATAGATCTCAGGCAAATGCAGAACAATCAAATTTTCCAAGTCATGAACTCGAGGCAGCCTTTGCTAATGATGATGATGATGATATATTTGAAACCATAGAATGCGAAAATTCCAATCTTTGCCTGCAACCACCACAACCAGTAGTTTCTTCCCACTCTGTAAATGTTGATGCAATCAATGGTGACTTAGACGACAGTCTATCAACATTATTTCGTAATGATGACGATCGGGATTATACGTGGGGTAGTGCGTCTCGTAATGCACATTCAGCTGACAGATCGACTTCATCTCAAGGGCCATGTTCAAAACGTTTACGTATTCAAACAAAAGAGAAGAATCCAAATGTAGACGAAAATAACGTACAGTTGCAAACTGCAGTTGCATGCAACGTTTGCTTTCAACCAGCTAAAGAGTAAGTTTTTTGCGTTTATGTGTTTGAAAAAGTTTCTCCTATGTTTTATATAACATTTCAGGTTAACAGTTAAAAATGGTCTCAATAAGGGCCGCCTATATTATGTATGCTCTAAGAGTAATCCTTGTAAGTTCTTTCAGTGGGCTAATGAAAGTCATGTGACTAATGACAACACGCCTGCTTGGGGCTCAAACGGTAACTTGGAGGATTCAAATAGCTCAACTTTGACTGATAATATTGCAGTTAATCTGCCGAAAATTGATTGTCACTGTCACAAGAGTTCTAGCAGGTAATTAATGTGAAAAAATTGCGAAAAGCTTTTGATATATTAAATGTATATATGTAGTTTAACCGTGCGAAAAGAGGGCCCAAACAAAGGCAGAAGATTTTATACATGCTCCAATCGTAACAAATCTTGTGGTTTTTTTAAATGGGCCGATGACCTTCCAAGTAATAACATACTATTATCATTTATTAATGTATAATGAATTTGAAATTTTGGTTACGCAGGCAGTTCGTCGCTGGGTGAGAAATCATCAGATATATCTGCTACCCATGGTATGTATTATTCTTTATGAATCCATTATCGAAGGGTGTGTTAACTTATATTAATAGACATACATATGCATATACTATGGATACATAGATGTACGTATATACTTGAATATTAATTTCATTGATTCATTATGCCAAAATGCTCTTTGGAACTGTCACACTATTTATTCAATCCACTATTATCCAAATTATATTCGACTGTGCCTGTACATTTTCCATAAGCAAATGAAAATAACGAAATTTCTATCGTAATATTAAGTTTCCCATTTTTTTGTGGGTACCGTAGTATCATCCATATGAATATACGTCAACATTTTTATTTTTACATTTTCTGAGCAGAAGTAACCGCAGCTTATGTCCTATTGCGCGCGTGTCCTTTTTTCGATTTTTCCTACTTTCAATACAAACCTGCGTCCAACAATTTTCAACCAAGTTTTCGCTAAATTTGAACCCCATGTCTAATTTTTAATGTCTTAAATTTGTCACAGATAGTATATTTACAGGCATACACACGTACTGATGCGCTTAAATCGAATCAATGTTTTATCAAGTATTTTTATTCTTTTTCAAGTCTCCAGAGTTTTCTAGTGAGTGTTAGAAACGTTTTTCCAAAATTAATATATAGTTAGTGAATTAAACGTTAGTAATTGTGCTAAAGCCGAACGTCAAATAACTTTTGATAGTTAATTTCTTTAAAAGTCATCTCTAAATATTACTTAGTAGTAAATTATGTACAAAGTTTTAGACTGCCTTAAGACCGCTCTCTCTCCCACTCTCCCACTCTCCCTCTGCCCCCCCCTCCCTGTGATTGTTAAGGTGCATTTAAAGGACTTTATTGATTAGACAACAGAATTTTGTGGAATCATCCATCATGTATTTTTACTTAAGCATGTAAAAGTTGTCGGTAGACGATATGTGGTCATCTTCCAAAACAAATCTTAACGGGGTCGTCTTACGGAAAAATGTAGATTGCGATTTGACAAGATCTGCTCAGAAAAATTTTACTGGTAAAGACGAACGCAATAAAAGTCCGTACGCCTGCATTGGCGGAGGGGGCCAATCTTCTGCTTCGGTTAGGTTGATTTTATTGTCAGTTTCTTATTATTATGCGTCATCAAATATTGAATATTAAATTTTTTTATCATTTGAAGGTCTGCTGTTAAAGCCCAAATTCATTCGGCGATGGGTATTAAAATTCGTCGCGAGCGCTTTTCTGCATTAACTAACTAACTAAATTCGTACTTGTTTTACTTTCAGATAAAAGAACACTTACTTCTGCTCCACGATCTAAGGCACGTAAATGTGGTTTATGCTCCCAAGAAGGACATACTCGCCAAAAATGCCCACGTAAAGCTGAATTTGAATTTTAATTTAAAGGCTTGTGTGTAAATAAATAAAGCAAAAGTGAGTTCACCTATAACACACAAAATGTCTTCAGTGTATTGTGATCATTTCACAGAATATTTTATGGCTCATTACTAATAAATGAAAAAAAGACTTTAATCACATTATTGGAAAATATTAGATGAATCTCTGATTAATGGCCCGAATAAAAACGATTTATATGCTCTAGATAGCAATCCACAATTGATTTGAGCGATGTTGGATCTTGATCTTTTTTTTTATTTCATAACATTTTAGAATCAAATTGAAAGGATTAGTATTAAATTGAAAAAATGTGTCATAGTTTATTACGAAAAAAAAAAGAATCCTTTCATTCTTGGTAGTAATAAATACATTTAGAGAAAATAAAAGTTGTTTTATTTTTATAGCCTACATCTGGCGCTGAATTGCGCTTGTACGAATATATGTAATACCCAGAAAGACTTGAAATGGACTCAACTTTAATTGGAGCGAGCGATTCATTTTTGAGCCGATCTAGAGGCATGTGATGTTTAAATTTGATACACTAATGTGCTTCAGGTCAATGCGAGCCCTGTTAAAAAAAATAGTTTGCATCCGACTGCATTTTCCATTTAACGTCTTATTTTATGAAAAAATATTGTAAATATCAGAAATTCTAAATTTTTATGAAAAAATTGAATCGAATGGACCAATTCTTTACTACGAAAACTGATTCATTATTTGGTGAAAAAGGCTAATTATCAGTCAATCAATATTTGTGGATGCTAATAATATTTTTTTTTTTTATAAATTCTTTTATTTACAATCTATCTATCAAAGTATTTTTTTTGGGATGTTGAGTTAAGATGGACCAAGCCCGTAAATTTGTGGCTTATATGTCCAGATAATAAATATTACTAATTATTGGTAAGAAACGTATACAAATCACAATAAAAAAATGTATCGTATGCACTACTAGGTTTTTCAAGGTTTTTCTGTGACCAGTCGTTATACTGTTGCGTTTTACGTCGTATAGAGGCGGTTGTACTAGAAACCCATTTCATTTTGCCAGACTGAGTGCATGTAAAAAGGAAATAATATATGATTAAATTCATTTAGCGCGCTTTTTATTACTGAATTACCTTAGTTTTGACTTGACGTATTGTGCTCCTGAAATAATTGTATTTCTGCTCATCAGGAGGTATGTAGGCGGCATTAAGCACCTTCTGGAACATCAAATAATTATTCATAGTTTCTGCAGCCACTTGAGCTACTTCGGGATGTCTAAATTCAACGAAAGCATAACCCTTACTACCGCTGATGTATATATATCTATATATACCTAAGACATATACGTCTGTCCGTTTGTCTGTTCAATCGACTGTTTGTTGGCACGTTCCTTAGAATATTAACACGAATAATCTTGGACGAATTTTCTGGTTTTTTTATCGTTTTATTGTTTAACAAAAAAAAATTTATTATACGACCAAAAAATTTATTGTACGACCAAAAAATTTATTATACGACCAAAAAATTTATTGTACGACCAAAAAAATTATTGTACGACCACAAAAATTTATCGTACGACCAAAAAATTTAAAAAAGAAAGCACAAATGGCGGTTCTTTGTAAGGATTACATTGAACTTTATCGCCCGGCCAAATCTTCAAATGTTGTTTCGCTGCTTTGTTCAATCGGGCTTCGTATGGCTCGATTTAAAGCAATCCAACTTAATGTCCAATACTACAATAAGAAAATCAGCTGATAAAGCAAATTTGTTCACACTAACTGAATTGCTCTCAATTTCTTATTTAACAGAACTGCGTCCGCAATTTCTCACACACTTTAACAGAATTGAAGGGTTGCAATTTATTGAAAGCAACTCTGTGCTCTCTCCATTCTCCACACATGATACTTTCTTTATAAGCCATGTAAAGGAAAAAATCAGCTAACGGCTTTTAGCGAAAAATTAAAGTCATTTTACAAGTGCACAAAGAGCTTGGTGAAAAATTGACGTCGACGAACGTTTGATGAGCGTCCTTTTCTGCAAAACCAAATTCGTGTGTTGGTTACAAATGAGTTAATTAATGTGAATATGTTCAAAGTTCGGTTGTAACATAATATAATGGAATTTTTGATTAATAAATTATAGCTAGTTCGTCTGAGCGATCGCACGGCCCATATTGAAGAAGGTGAGAAAATGTCCGATAATCTTGAAGCTACCACTGCCGACGAACTCCAACATTCATCCGGAAAGACAGCATCGAATTATTTGGTCGAATTTACTGTATATGCGTTGAAAGCGTAACAAAGAGTAAGTTTCAATATTTACATACAGATCTAATGAAATTTTTTCATTTTGTTGCCGTTTCCTTCATTTTAGAACACTGGACGCAAATTGAGTAAATTGAATTAAGTGAATATATGGATTTCAGTTTCCGTTTAACGGGACACTCTTTTGGAAATCAATAAAAACTAGCTTTTGTTTTAAATTCTTTTTATTTATTAAAATAAATGTTTACATTCTTTTATTTAAAAATATATTTTACTGCCTTATCAACACTAAAAATAAAGTAAAATATTCTTTGTTGTTGTTATTTTATGTATTGTTTTAAATGAAAAACAATTAAATAAATCGCATTAGTTATATGAAATTATGATGATCATGTTTTATAAATATATATATATATATATATATATATAAATATATACATATATGTATGTATATATATGTTCGTGTATGTATATGATGAAAAAAAACAAAAATTAAAAAAATGTGATTTGTTTGGAACGTACACGTATTTATGAGTATGTATTTACATATGTATTGTTTATGCTTTCATATAACGCCAATAAATAGAAATGAAAAATAACTTTTTGGCAGTTAAATTTACACCAAAATATGTATAAAATAAATTTGTTATTTTGAACTTGTTTCTCATAATTATATGCATATGCATATCGATGCATGCAACTCTTAGCTTAAACAATACTATTACGCTTACAATGATTTATCTTCAGTTTACTTTCTTTTGTGTGGTTTCTTTATAATGTTTATTTTATTCGAAATATCAACTATGTGGTATAATTTGTTTAACTTCAATGTTTCCTCTTTAATATCGGGTTAAGAAATGTATGTATGTATATTATTTGTTTGCGTGATTTCTCTTCTCTTCTTTTCTTTTTTTTTTTTTTCTTTCTTTCTTGTTTACATCAAAACTATTTTTAATTTTATCATATTGTTGTTATTATTATTATTGTTGTTATTGTTGTTGTTATTATTATTGTTATTATTATTATTATTATCGTTGTTGTTCTTTTTATATAACTATCAATATTATTATTTTATTAAAATATTTTGCATCTTTTCATTAACACAAGTGTTTTTCTTTTCTTTTTTTTTTTTTTCCTTATCGTTTTGTGTTAACTGAATATGTGTTGTTTTCATTAAATTTTTTTAACTAAAGTCGTGGTGAATTTTAAAAAAAACCTAAAACTATATAATATATAGTACATCGACAATCATAATATTTAAATAAAAAATAAAAAGGGGAAGGATTTCTATATTAATTGGTGTCTATTTGAATGGCTTTTGACGGAATCATGCCGCGTTTCAAAGGGGACTGTTATCAGATTCATCACGTTCCTGTATAGCAGTGATACTTTGTTGTAAGGCATTTGGAGTCAGCCACTCCCTAGAAAAGTACAAAAAATAAGTAAACATAAGTTTTTGTTATCTTTTCAAAAATTGCTATGTTTTTAATGGTAGGCTGCATGTCAGTTGACGGATCATGACTAGTTTCACACTGAAGTTTAGAGACACGAAAAATTACTTAGAGCAATCAAAGGTCAGGCCGTAGATTTTAATTCTTTTCTGTTTTCTTTAGCGATTTTTTGGCAAATCACGCTTGCGGTGTTGTCCAAATATACATATACACACGTTCAGTATTGTGAGAACTGAGAGTGTAAGAGAGATCTTAGCTGACAGACAAATAGATGGACAAAATCTATTTCGTTTTCGTTACATAATATAAATCATTTGTCGAGAGTCAGATTATCTGCAAACTTCTATTTATTACAAACATTTGATAAATCTAAACGACATCCTCTAGTGGAAACAAAAAATCAGAAAGCGAAGACAAATCTTTGCAAATACACGAACAAGCATTTAAAAGTCCACGTTTAAGATTAATTTAAGAGAAATATTTTTGATAAGTATGTGCAACAAAATTCATACCGATTTATGCTGCGATACAAAGGAATCTAATACCATATTGTATGAAATGCAAAAAAATTAAAACGTTCAGTTTTCTCCTTATCATAGGCTTACTACTCCTGGATCGTTCCAATTTTCACAAAAAACCTCTTGAATTTAATTTCGACATGATTGAAGTGATACTGATTACGAATTTGTATACTTTTTGAAGGTTTATATATATATATATATTGCTAGGCTCTATAAACAGAATTCATCAAGTTACTATACAGGCGTCCGGTGTCCGTTATGAAAATGATTAAAATAGAAAATATAAAATGAAATAAAAATTCAAAAAAATCATTACTTACTTTGGCAAACATCTTTGTAAAAATGGCACACAAGAACTAAAATGTGCTAAACGATTAACCCAACTAGGAATTTCTTGGCCACAAAGGATCTGTAAAGAAGAATTTTTTTATATTTATTTATTGTCTGTATATTTTGTAAATAAATTCGCAAAGTATCTATCTCTAGCGGTCGCGACCATAGAGTCACGATCCTATCAACTACCCAAGCGGATAGAATTTTTATATTTAAAATATTTCGCAACAGAAGAGATCGAGATAGGCTGCACTTTTTGCATCTGCCACTGAATGCTGTTGAAATGAAACAAATGTAAAATGTTCTTTTTCTTTTTATATCCTACATCACAGGTCCACCTTTTATTATACCGATCAATTCAAAATCACCGTCTGAAAGTCTTGTTTGCCTGTGTTCAACGTACAGTTTGCAATTTTCGATGAAATTGGATACACTGCCATGTTTTGGTCCAAGAACGAGTGCGATTGGAAATGGTTCAGAACGAACGGCTTTTTGGACCACTTCCTACATTTAAGACCTTATTTTAAAAAGTCTTTATACAAATAAGTGCACCAAGCAATGTATGTGTGATATTCAATGGTGGACTGTGTTCCACTAAAGGATTTTTACATTATCTTAACACAAGTTTTGTTGAATTTGATTTAACTAGCAGTAGAGAAAAAAAAAAAAAAGACTTGAAATGACGTTTTCTTTCGATGCAACGTTCAAAGTCGATATTCGCGATTGCAATAAGATTAAACCAATCCCCGATCTCTAATGAACAAAGGCGACACAAGAGTTGTGCTGAATGCATTTCACAAACCTGTGTAAGTGCACTGGAGAAATGATTACAATTATTATTCATTAAATGATAACGATCGCCACGAAATTGATTGCCCAACTCTTCGACGATTCGTCTGACCTCTTGATACGTAAAATCTGTACAGCCAATTTGTATACTTTGACGAAAATGAAATTGTTCACCAAGTTCATCATGGTCGCGCGGTGTTATCTCGAATACGCCGGTAAATGGAAATGGGTGACCGCCATACGCGAATTCTGTGCCAAATATTTCAACTCCCGAATGAAATACACCCAAACCAATTGAAGTAGTGTACTCATTAATCCAATACTATTGAAATGTAAACCAATATTAGTTGAATTTTCGGATATAAACTGAGTAACATACCATATCATATACATTTAGTATAACGGGTTCCCGATTGCCGGTATTTGAAGGTAATAATTCATCGTTTCCACTGTCTTTTGAGATGCCAAGACAACTGGGAAAAGGTAAGTTACAAGGAAGCCCGTTCGAAAACATTGTGCCAACACGTTTAAGAAATCTACAATTGTAAACATTAACAAAATTAAATTGTATATTTTACACAAATTTCAAGTGCAGTTTTCTCATATTTTTTGATATAAGAAAACCGTACATTTTAATTGCATTTAATTACTCAGGGAAGAAATTTTTTTTCCGTCATTTAAAAAAATAGCAAGCTATACTCTTCTTGAAATCAAGTTTGCATATTAGCTAAGACGTATTTAAAAAGCCTAATTACAAAGCTTATTCTTAAAGAGACGTTATTTTCCGATAACCGTTCTGGGCGGGAAAGGATAATCATTTCAAATATTAAGGAATATTTGCTCAAAGTTAAATTGTCTTTTATTCTTTTCTTAACCGGCATTTTCAGCGAACGATATCGGTTTTCAGAGTAACGGAAGTTATATGGGTGCATTTCAGCTTTCCATTTTAATTTTTGGGATCGTTGCAACTGCAATGGTTAGTGGAAAAATCAAAAGACCACTAGTTAAGCATCTACTTTTTGAATTTTTAGAGGGCAGAGACATTTCATGCCGCCTTTGTTGGCTTGCGAATCTTAAATATCCGCTCCAATTAAGTGTTCACTCTTTGAATTTCTGGATTCTATTGGAGCAAGGACAAAACCATTTTGATCCAGTCTCTTGTTGGTAAGCGAATCTCAATATTTACCCCCATTTGGGTTTCTAGACGATAAACCCATTCCATTCAGTCCTTTGTTAGTGGACGAATCTTAAATCTCCATTCCGATCAATTACACTAAAAGCGACCGACTACTTACGTCAACTGTCAGCGTGTTAATAACCCAAATGCCATTTCTATGTAATAAATTTATATAATTTCGCTAACTATGCCAAACTTTAGATCGATATCTGCTACAGGTCATAGATATGACATGATGAAAGCATTCTTCTCGTCCGAGACTGTTTGTCTATCTAAATGGTGATTCGCTGAAGATTCTCAGACTTTCAACAATAGATAATACACAAATGAATCTAAGCACTTTTAGCACGAATTACACATTTCATTGAATATCCGTTATTTTTATGCATTGCGAATGGAATAACAAAGGTAGTATTGTCACACTTTGGATATAAAAATAAGCTCGCGTAATATTGAAAGGCTACATAGCTTACACATCTTTTGTTTTAAACTAGGACGAAATAAAAATAAAAAAAACTTTATGTAAAACTTCCTGTTAACAAAAATCGATTATTGCAAATATTTTATTTCTATTTATCGTTGACAGGAAGTCGTCCTAAATAGATTGTTGTGTCTTCTGTACTTATATATATATATATATGTATATATATATATACAATCTGCTTGCCTAAGCATTCCTATTAAATTCTTAGTGTATGCGTACATGCATAAATATGAAACTGAATTGCGGCCCCGCATTAATAACACCGAATAAATGAAAACAAAGCCTTCCACATCGGAGAAGTAGAAATACTGCGTAAATAAACATTTGTTACTTATGTTACACGTATTAATTAAAAGCGTTTCTATTTATTTATGCAAAATTTAAGCAGAATGTAGAGTTATTCATTATATTAACACAAGATACAAGAATTTATTATACGAGATTGGATCATACCTGACACACGCAGACAGACAATACTAAAACGAAATTTTAACGATTAAATTGATGTAAAATTTTATTAATTTGCAACTATGCGGTTTTGTTGATTTCTTTTTATTTTTTCTTTTCTATATATAAATTTGAAAAGCAATGATAAATGCCATTTAGAGAGATTTAATTCTTTTGTGTGTGAGTATGTATGTTTATTTTTAATATAAAGTTGTAGCTGGAATTTTTACTTTCCAAGTACACTGACTGATGACAGGGTGTTGCAATAATATATATTTTTTTTACCACATAAGAGCGATTTAAATTGCAGTGTCCTGAGACTGCGAACCTGTCACAATCCCTTTATTAAACAAGAAACTGTATGCAAAATGGGTAACAACTATATTAGAATGTTGCAATCGCATACCAAATGTAGATAATAAGATAAGATAAGATTTTGCCAAATTTTTAATTGCCTTAGAATAGCTCTTTACATTATACTCGTGAAAAAAGTCAAATACATGGAAAATGATTTTAAAAATAAAAGCCTGGCAATCATACGAATGAGATATTTATCAATCGAAAATATTACGGGGGCAACTCTACATGAAGGTGAAGCAATAATAATTTCCAAATAGTGAGACAGTTTTTGACATACCCGAGGAAAATATATAAAGAAAAGTTCAGAATAATTTATATACATTTATCTATATATATAATTTAATAATTATGGAGGAAGTACGTAGTGGCGACAAAATTTACGGTGGCTGTGAGGGTCCTGATGCTATGTATGTCAAACTAATTTCATCGGATGGTCATGAATTTATTGTGAAACGTGAACATGCTTTAACTTCTGGCACTATCAAGGCTATGCTCTCCGGTCCTGGTCAATTTGCTGAAAACGAAGCCAATGAAGTACATTTTCGTGAAATACCGTAAGTCTTGTTAATGTAGAAAAGAATTTCTAATTATTAGTCTGAGAACAAAATTTTGTGTAAGTGCTCTATGGACAGATAATCAAACATGACCTAACATTTACAATCATACATGCATATATATGTATTTTTATATACAAATATATATAAACATATATAACCTAAGCGTGCCTAAGAATAAGTAAAATATGCTAAAGATGATGAATAAAATTAGGTTGCTTTTACAATAAAATAATATTAATACCTTTGTTTTCTTTTCAGCTCTCATATTTTGCAAAAAGTCTGCATTTATTTCACCTATAAAGTACGCTACACAAACAGTTCTACAGAAATACCAGAATTTCCGATTGCTCCTGAAATTGCTTTGGAATTATTAATGGCTGCGAACTTCTTAGATTGTTAAACCTTTTTAATTATTACTTTTTTTTTTATTTCTTTAATTTTTGTCTGCTTCTAAAATATTTTTTATAAAAGATATACAAACAAAATATATTTAATATAATCGAAAAATGTGAAAAATCATTTTCTCCTCAAAGAAAAAAGCGATTTTGCCTACGATCATGTATAATTTAATTTTGAAAACAAAAAATTACAACGCTAAACCAATTGTTAATGTTTTTAAGTTTATATTAATTTCAATTGTAACAAAATCTATATATACAATCCTTTAAGATAGTTTTCGTTCTTTAAATTACTCGAACAATTTTTATGTTTGTAAAAAAGAGAAAATAAAAAAAATTTTGGATATAGAAAGGAAAAATTTAATATATTATTTAGAAAACGAGATGAAAAATTAACTGCCGATGGCGGAAAAATGCTTTTTCTTTAATTTGCGTTAACATGAGCAGCACTATGAAGGTAAATTTTGATATAAAGGCTTAGACGCTTCTGAGCTGTCGATCAGTTTTATTGTTGTATCTTTCTTTTTTTTTTCCGCTATAATACATTTCGCGTCTCAACGGCTTGACTGTTAAAAATGTCAACATACACAGTTCAGTTTAGAATAAATACACTGACACTCACTTTGTAGCTTTTGAAACAATCATGTTAAATATCATGCACAAAATTTGGAAACGTATAAATTTTTGGAAAGAAAAGCGATAAGCCTTTATATGTTTGCTTTATTGATGACTTTTAAAGAAAAAAAGGGAGCAAATTAAAGCAAACTTTGTTTTTTGAAAATTTCCAAAACCCATTCGAATATTATTAAATAATTCTTTTAGCAAATGATATACTTGATGTTGTCTTCGCATTTTCAATCAGGATATGTTCGTTATATAACAATAGCTAACTATATAACGACTTCTCAAAGAAAGGCTTTGTATTGGAAGTTGTCCGATCCGAACCATTTTTAGTAGCATCCATCCTTGCAATCGTCCTAAGCAATCGTGGGAATAATTGTAGACGTTTTGTACTCATTTTTAACAGCTGTGTATACGTTGTCCAAGCTTATATCTATAATCTGTTTCTGCTGGTATATGAATTGAAAGAAAAGTATTCAATGTCCTTTATTCTTCACATTCAATTTCCAGCAATACCAGAACCAAATTCAAAAAATTCTTTATTTACATATTTCAAAACCATTTTCGTTAATAAAAGCATTGACGTGTGCTGCTGAATATGTTTAAATTAAAATATCTCCATTATCAGGCTTGGAATTTTTTAATTTCACGCAGCAGTATGATATCAGAAAAATATTACATTTTTTCGTTGATATAGAAAAACTTCCTTAACATAATTTGTAGAAGATTTGAAAAAGACCGAAGAACGTTAGAAATAAATAAAAATAAATTTTAACTTGAAACGTTGGCCATGCAAATATATCCTTAAAGGAATTATGTTTGTTATCTTTTCAATAATGAGACAAATGAAAACATCTTACGCATCATCTTGTAGCATGCATATAACGACTTTTCACAACAAGGCTGTGTTTGAGAAGTGGCCGAAAAAGCGGTCCGATCCGAAACATTCTTCAATATCAGATTTCATCAAAATATATCGATAGTTGCGATGGTGAACAGACAAGCTTAGATCGATTAAGAATATGACCCGTCTGAATAGTATTTTCATTGTAATTAAATAATATGTAAATTTGGACTACCTTCTACCCCGGCTACGGTAATGGTACTATTCAGTCGCTGACGCCCCTTTGCTCCTCGTCAGAGAAGCTGAAATGTGTCCTTATAATTTATATGTTTTTATAAAAATTTAAACTTTTAAAACGTTACAACCCTGTTTTTGATATCTCCATTATATAAATATAATATTTATGCATTTCAGCTAAGGCCGTCCAACGCATTAATAATAGATCGTATTTTAATAAATACTACTAAGACTCATATAAAATATAAAATAAGGCAAAAAAGGAAACTTCAAACTTTACCACAAATGTAACATCTCCTGCCTTTAATTATCATCCTGGCTAGTAAGCCGCTAATGTTAACACGGTTGCCTATTTTAGTACTTTATTAACTAAATCGAGTAACACGTGAATGTTGCAAGAACAACATAGGAGCAACGGTAGTAGTAGTTAACTTGCTAAGTAGATACAAACATAAGCATTTAGAATGAATGTTGAAGTTAAGTCGAAAAGAATAAAAATGTCCACCTTGGAGCAATTGAAAAAGTTTACGACAATAGTTGCCGATACCGGCGATTTTGAAAGTAAGTGAGGCTTCGCCATTGGATTGGATGTTGTTATATAAATGTAGATAAGAAATAAGTATTCTTGTAGTATTTTTTATTTTCTTTAATGTATATTCTAAAATGTGTTTGTTTTAACAACGTGATATAAAAAAAATATAAAAATGCGTTTACGATTGTATGTATAGGTTAGTTTTGTTAATTCATGACCATCAACTTTCCATTAATTGTAACCTTGAAATTATTACAAATTACAAATAGCGCATTTAATCGCAAAACCTTGCATTCTAATTAAATAAAACTTTCATTTTATATTTAATTAAAGGTATGAAACTTTACAAACCCACTGATGCTACGACAAATCCTTCTTTAATTTTAAACGCTGCCAAAATGGAGCGCTATCAGAATTTAGTGCAAGACGCTATAGAGTATGGCAATAAAGTTGGAAGGTATAGATGACTATACGTGAGCTTAGCTTAGCAGGTAGATAACATTTCCTTTCTTTTTTTTGTATTTATTAGTTCTGAGAGAGAGAAAATTGAGGAAGCTATGGATTACTTATGCGTTTCATTTGGATGTGAAATACTTAAGATTATTCCGGGTCGGGTCTCCACCGAGGTAGATGCTCGCTTATCATTTGATACCGATAAAAGTGTAAAAAAAGCCTTGAAATTAATCAAACTTTATGAAGACAAGGGCGTTACAAAAGAAAGAATTTTGATCAAGTTAGCTTCTACTTGGGAAGGTATACAAGCTGCTAAAATTCTGGAAACAAAACATGAAGTCAAGTGCAATTTGACTTTATTGTTTTCATTTGCTCAAGCTGTCGCCTGTGCTCAGGCGAATGTAACGCTGATTTCGCCGTTTGTTGGACGCATATTAGATTGGCACGTGGCCAATACCGATAAAAAAAAATACGCACCAAAAGATGATCCAGGTGTTATTTCGGTTACAAATATATATAATTATTATAAAAAATTTGGTTACAACACTGTTGTGATGGGCGCGTCATTCCGTAATATTGGTGAAATTAAAGCTTTAGCCGGTTGCGATTTGCTGACTATAAGTCCTTCGCTTTTAAAAGAATTGGAAAACGACGACGAAGAAATTCAGGCTCATTTGAATGTGGAAAGGGCTAAAAATGAAAAATTGGAAAAGTTAAGCATGGACGAGCCAACCTTCAGATGGCTGTTAAATGAGGATGCCATGGCTACCGATAAATTGTCTGAGGGTATACGCAAATTTGCCGCCGACGCTGTGTCTTTGGAAAAATTAATAGGCAAACAAATGAACGTCTGAGTTGAAGCAGATTTTTTCGTTTTCAATAAAATTGCATTTATCATATTCGGTTGATATGTGAACACTTATACTTATAAAATATTGTATATTTAATGTTTTTAAATTGTGAAATCTTTATTTTTTTATTGAGAAATAAAAATTGTTTTAAACCTTTGTAAATGATTGCAGAAGAATAAACTACGGTTTGGTTAATTTATTCAACTGATTTCATTTTGCATAAATAAAGGGTCGGTAGTAGCTTAATTTCATCGTTCAACTTACAAACGCTGGTAACCTTATCCGCTTGGGATACGACCTTGCCCACAGATTCACGATCATCTCCGTGTATAACTTTAAACTCATCGCCAATGCCTGGGTGTACTGGCGCCAAATGCTCACTTACTACGGAAACGATACGATCCTCTTGACGTAGAAACACCGAACAAACACCATTAGATACAGTACGTATAATACAAGTTTGTCCGACTAAATCTGTATCGTCGTGAGTATGGATTTTAACTTCTATGTCCGTAGTACACCAATCACTTATAGGTGATTCCAAACTGGCTCCAGGCGTCTGAGGATTATAAGGGGAATGTGGAGCACCCGGGGTATTCGGTGAATAACTGGACGGCGAAGGTGTGTTCATATAACCGACTGGGTACGGGGATGGGGCCGGACTAGGGCTAGGATTAAAGGGACTATAACTACGATCAGAGCCGTACAAAGTTCCAGGAGTCTGCGGCGGAAACTGAGTATTGATTTGATATCCCGGAGTGCTAGGATTATATCCGGGACTTGGACTAGGCTCTTCAAGTGAGTAATCAAAATCGTTGCTGCGTGCTGGAGTATTGGTAACATTAGGATCCCACGCTCCATGTCGAGGGGTCATGCTACCATCGTGCAATGGTGTCATTGAACTACTGTAAGGTGTACGACCCTCCGAATCCCAATTGGGTGTTTGATTGCCCAGCAATGGTGTTTTAGAACCAGCTGCAGCATAAATAGGCGTATGTGAACCATAGCCCGGGGTGCGAGCTGGTGTACGACCATATGACGATAAGCTGCCATCTTTTCCAGCTGCTCCAACAATAGCAATGTGGTTGCGATCAACGGAAATTGTCTGGCAAGACGTATGCAATTCTACACGGGCTGTACTTTCTGTAGCGTCCTTTACAATACCAACCACTCCTAACGATGGAAAGAATAGAATTTTTTTCCCAAATTAGTTGAAAAATCTTTAACATTACCTTTGTAAGGACCGCCGCTAATTTTAATTGTTTTCCCCAGAATCTCACGGTCGCGAGTAACGCGAAAGCCGCCACGTCCACCTCTACCACCGCCTCGACCACCGCGACCACCAGATGGATGCATCGGGGATTGTATGCGCGGTGACATAAAACCCAAACCCCCCAAAGGACCCAAATTATTCGATTGCGATTTGCTGCCTCCAGCTAACTGCAAATGACGCGTTTTGCACACAAATATACCGCCGTTCTCGGTGTACATACGGCAATGGAGAAAAGCCAAACTGCGATATAAATGCTTAATCTCACCAGAACGACCCTGTAAACAAAAAATATATATATCTATTATATAAAAATATATTAATTCCTTTATGTGAAAACTTGCAGCATGTGGTCCCTCCATAACTTTGACGATATCGCGCCTTCTTATTTGATTTTGATCGGCATCCAAAGCAATCGTATTACGATTTTCACGACGCTTATGCAAGGCAGTGGGCTTACATTCAATAACTTTACCATGCATTCCCAGAACATGGAAATTTTCCCGTTCCAAGCGGACAATGACGCCTACATTTTGAGGACTTAAGAAAAACCAAAATTAGATTTAAACGATAATAATTTTGCTAGTACGGTAACTTACTCTAATTGCACCAAATCACCCCATTGAAACTGGCCCAGGCAATCAACGCCCGTAGCTACATCTGAGCATAGTTGCAAATCACGAGGCAAAACTTCCAGCTCGTGATTGGTTAAATCGGATACTAACACAACGCGAGTAGGTTCGACGCGTATAATTAGACCGGTTTCACCCTCATAGCGTCCGGCTAAAACGCGAGCGTGATCACCAGTTTTAAAATATTTACGTAACTCATTTGCTTTAAAGACAAGAGGATCCTGAAAGGGAATAAAATCACAATCAGTAATAATAACATTATTGCCAATAACAAAAGGAAAACAACTATGCAAAATTTTTTTGCGAGAAAAATACCTTTAGATCTTGATGTTTGGGCATAACAGTGATCATGCCACCATCAATAGCAATAATTTTTGCTTGTAAATTTTCCAAGTCACCTAAGCAAACTTCCACGTTGTCACCCATGGAAAATGAATGGGCCACTGTCGGATCATCCTTTACTCCAGTAACAATTTCCAAGTTCACGTCTGCCACACAAACAATTAGATCGTTTTATAAAAATATTTATCAGGAAAACTAGTAAATCTCACCTTCAGGTTGCTCTTCAAATCTTTCTAATTCTGCCAGAGTGGGCTTAACACCATCGGCCAAAATAGCCGACATAGTGAAGTTTTTATATAAGAAACCTTTGCGAGAATAACGATTTCCTTCAAACAATAAAAAGTCGCCATCTGAATGAACTTCACCTCCGATAGCTCTAACAGCTTCAGGGTCAAATGGCTTCGCTGGAGGACGACGTTTCTTCTTTTGCTTATTATCGGCTTCCTGGTAGAATGGTAGAACAAGAAAGATAATAAAACTACATACTTTATTTTCTGTATATCAGTGGCTTACATTGGATGTCGATCGTAACGCTCCTCTCATACGAGTGTAATCAATACGTGGTAATAATTTTAAGTGAGCTTGATTTTGAGCCAAATCTACATAGTCAACCTGAGCTATATCATCCTTATAAAGACCACGTTTTAAGCGTACCCATTGCTTAACCTTCAGACCGACTTGCTCTTTAACCACTTTCAAAACATCAGTCATTTCTTTAATGGGTACCATTTCCTGTTTCCACTGGCCCATACGCAAATTGCCGACATTCTCTATGGCTGTTTTAACATGTGTTTGTTTATATGATTCAACATAAATGTAACCTTTGACGCCTTCAGGTGCTACCACTGACTTAATCTGCAGAGGTTCATCGGTATTAAGATATGTCAGAAATTTACGCATTAGCAATAGAGCAGTGGCTTTTTCTTCACCGATACGACACTTGATCATCCAGAGATTTGGATCTCTAAAAGTTATTAAATGTAACCATAACGAGCCATAGTTTTTTTTTTTATTATCATTTTCTTACTTAATTCCCGGTAATAGTGTCTGCTGTGTAATTTCATCGGACATTTCTTCACCGCCATCACCGAAATGCCTTTTGGCTATGGATTCATCGGCATACTTTTTACGTAAATATTCTTCAATCTCATCCTCCCTCTGCGTGCTTTTAATTAAAATGAAACGTATTACAGTTGGAGTCGACACTCAAATGTGCAAACCAAAGAGATTACTTACTCCCAAAGATTCGTGCCACGTCGACGTATTTCAATGTCACGTGCAGTTGGGCCTAATTCATCGATTTCATTGCCCACTATCCCTAATTCGTTAGCTCCTTCTTCCCATTCGTCATCTTCATCAACCTAAGCATGACAGACACATGTGGAACGCTAATTTTTAATGCAATTATATTCAAATGTTTACCTCGTCATCCACTTCAGCTTCGTCAATTATAAAACCACCAAAACGATCTTTCTTCTTTTTTTTTCGGGGTCTATCATCTTCATCTTCTTCGTATTCCTCGGAATCCACTTCATCACCATCATCCTCGTTATCGTCATCTTCATCACGTCCACGTTTATGACCGCGGGGAGAACCTTCTGAACCCGATTCTGAGCCTGCAGACCTTGAACGTGACCGCGACCTTGAGCGAGAAGGCGAATGTGAAGATCTAGATCCCGATCTTGAACGTTGTAACGATCTAGACCGTGAACGCATACTTTTCTGCGATTTGTTAGAACCCAGAGACCCATCTTCTGAACCGCTATCCGAAACATTACTTTCTTCTGAATCCGACATTATTGGCTATTGAGTATATGCGAAGCAATGCTTATAATGTCTTCCCAGGGAAATTTGCAGTAAGTATCTTGCTTAGTATTTTATTTTATTAATTTCAATAAACGCCACTTAAACAGAACAGCAAAAAATGAAAACCCTCAACACATCCAAGAGACAAAGAGAGAAAAATACTACTGTTGCATTGAATCGAACAGCATGTATTATATTTAAAACAAAGTGTACAGAAATACATTAAGTCGTTTTACGATATGAGAGTTTTACGATCACACATGAACGGTATGTACAGTAGTTTTTAAAACCGTATGTTTTATATTTCTTCGCATTCCAATCAAAGGTAGGCACAAAGGTCGGATAGGAAATTCAAAAGAAAACATATGAAATTGTTTATAAATCAAAAATCGTACGGAACATTTTTCAATTTTGCACGTCCTTTCAATTTACAGCGCAGCATATTTAAAAAATGTTGCGTAGATTCAGGTTGAAATAACGCAACTCGCAGGCCATTTCTCTTCTAATATAAGTAAAATATTTTGATATTAATTTTTATATGCTAGAGTACATAAAGCAATCGTAAAAAAACGAATATTCGATGTGATGTGGACTATTTGGTGAGCAGATATACTAATTGGTGGAAGAAGATAAAAACAAAATTCCTCAAGGTACATCGAATAACGTTTGATCGCTTGACTTTTTCTTTATATGGGTGTAGAAGGCTCGATATGGACAATTAATAGAAAAATCTAAATAAATAAAATTGTAAGTAAGATAAGCTACATAAGTGTAGCTCTTACTTTACACGATTATCTAAAAGATGCTCTTTAAAGTTATATAAAAATACGATTTAAAAGACCGTCTATCGCATGAAAGAATATCATTGCTTGTAGAAAGCCGTCTTCATTTCAATAGTAAACCAATCTTTTTATATTCTTTCTTGTTTTCTAAATATATTTTATGAATTTGATTTGAAATAGTTTCTGAGCAATTTTTCATTCACGAGAAATGTTGACGAGAGAATCGATCACCCAAAAGACAAAAAAGTGTCGAGGATATTCACGTGTGTATTCAATTGTAAGCTATTTTTTGCAATGCTAGTCCAATGGAGGGAAGTGAGCGAGATCTATTTTACTTTTTATGAAATAACGGGTGATTTCACAATAAAAATCGTAATTGGTTTTGCTGTTGGGGTGTATATAGCTATTCAGATATTACGCGTTTTAAGTCTAGTTCGTTGGGTTGTAAAATACAGAAAAAGTTTTAAAAACTCTTTCGATGTAAGAAAGTAAGAGAAGAGTTGAAAAGGGACACACTCGTATTGGAATATAATTTACATTAACATTCCTTCGTAAATAACGGGAGAAACGCTTTACATATTAGCGTTATGAAGCGCATAACATGGGACGCATTCATTTAATTGGGACATCAATTTATTGACTTTGAACAGATGTCGATTTTGCTTGGACGAGTCAAAAATAAGCAATCCCTCAGACCGAAGGTGACAGAAAGTTTATCACTTTTTCGATCAATGAAATACGTTAAATTTCCCAGCTCATAAAAGTGAAGGAACTCAAGCATTACTTCCAAAAGAAGGAAAATATATTTCGTACTCGAAAAATGGTACGAGTATGTTTTAAAACCATTTAAACTTCATGGGAAGAATGCTGCTGATTGATGCAATAGTTTATCCGCTATTTTCTGCTCAGTCCCCCAAAATGAATGCCTACTAATTTTTCAATTTTCCGTCAAATTTTACAAACGTCTGCATATGTGCAAACCTTACTCGGGGAGAAGAAGAAGAATTAATATTAGAAGAGGAAACAAGAAATAGCTTTCTAATTTACATCCACAAGTCATCCAGGTTTTTAAGATTGTTGTCCACTGGACTCTATTTGAGACTAAGCTTAGTCTTTTTACATAATCGAATTTGATATCCTTGCAATCTGGTTTGCAAAGGGGCTTTATTAAGGGAATCCTATTCATACATATCCAAGTGAATGGATTTTAAATTTTGTATTATGCATTTTTTTTATGCAGATATCGGATAACCATATGTATCACTTAAGAATTCACGGTTTTTTTAAGACTTAGTAACCAAGGGATTTATTTCCGCAAAACCCCATTAAATTTTGAACTTGGCAATACCGAATTAAAAAGCAATTTCTCAAAAGTCAATTTTGTTGGTCATTGTAGGAGCGCATTTGGCATATTTAATATTATAAAATATTCCTTTTCCAATTTCAAATAAACCATGCAGTTGGAACAATTTAGAGAGTTACCTAAACCTGGATTCAACTTTGATAACTGCAAAAGAAATGCCGGACTCATTAAAAACGGATTTCAGGCTCCAAAGGCCGTTAAAACCGGGACAACTATTGCTGGCATAATTTTTAAAGATGGTGTCATTTTGGGTGCTGATACGCGAGCCACCGAAGGCCCCATTGTAGCGGATAAGAATTGTAAAAAGATACATTATTTGGCTAAGAATATGTATTGTTGCGGTGCTGGCACTGCCGCTGACACCGCTGCTATCACAGATTTGATTTGTTCCCAACTTGAACTGCATCGTCTTAACACTGGACGCCAGGTGCAAGTAGTTGTTGCCAATACTTTGTTAAAACAAATGCTGTTTCGTTATCAAGGACACATTAGCGCTGCTTTAGTTTTGGGCGGCGTTGATCGGACGGGCTCTTATATTTATTCAATTCATCCACATGGTTCTACTGATAAACTGCCCTATACAACAATGGGATCGGGCACTTTAGCCGCTATGGCCGTTTTCGAAGCTCGCTGGAAACCAGATATGTCCGAAGAAGAAGGAAAGAAATTAGTACGTGACGCTATTGCCGCTGGCGTGTTTAACGATTTGGGATCAGGCTCGAACGTGGATTTATGTGTGATTCGTAAAGATTCAGCAGACTATTTACGTGGTTATGAATACATCAGTAAGAAGGGCGAACGTCAACTCGATTATTCATTCAAAATCGGTAGTACTGCAGTTTTGGAAACTAAAATTGAGCAATTTGATATAAACGAAGAGATACGTTTCGTCCCGATGGATACTGCATAAAAAAATCTTAATTTACAGATTTTGATATACTTTTTATCCTAAAAAAATAAAATTAACGCAACAAAATCAATATAGTAACCAAGAATTAGAGACACTATAAATAGAGAGCTCCATATAAAAAACGTATTGAAGGCAGTTGCAAAAAGGTCATTATAGAAATACTTTTTCTTCATAATATTGCTATTAATGCAAGTAGTAGTTAAAATCTTGGAAATCCAGATTCCGGGGTTCCATTGTTAATAGTTTTCTACGGCGCTGACGAAGTGATTTCAGCTGACCTACAATTTTGCATACGTTGCCCCCGTTCGTACCGATTATTCGCATGATTGAAAAAAGACCCGAATTTCTTGATTTTCAAAAATAGAAAGAACATAAAATGGCGCAATAATACGGCCGATAAAAAAGTTTCTAGTCTAAAGTTGAATGGGTTATTAATTAAGTTTAATTAAGATTTAAAGAAAGTGTTTCCTATCCTATGATGTCTATTAATGTATTAAACGATCGATTTTTTCAACTTGCCCTTCAAATTGTGGCTTCTAAACGTCGGTTATGTATCCGTTCTTACCATTTGTTATTTAAAAATCTTTTCTTTGGAGAATAAAGCCAAAATGATTTATTTCTATAAAAATCGACTCATTAAATAAAAAAGGAAAATAAAGCAAAAAAAAAAAAAAAAATTATAAATGCATATATAAAAAATAGTTTACAACTTTTGTAATAAATACTTTAATTCCAAATTTTGCTTTTCCAAAAACATGCATTCATGGTCTATTTGTTCGCGCTTTTTCAAAACTTCCAAATAATGATTTAAGCCATGTTCTATTGTCTTCCAAACATTTTGTTTATCTTTAGCTAAATAATAATCAAACTGATGCCAATAATTCTCAATTTCTTCTTTACTCCATTTTAAAAGATTTAATTGAGAATCGTCATCCTCGCAAGCACTGATACATAACGAGGCAGTAAATGAATTATAAAATTTTCAGAGAAAAGTAATTAATTTTTAAAGGAAATATCTTACGGGTTTTCGCGTGGTTTACCACGTTTGCCGGTCTGATCGCTGGTGAATTCGTTTAAAGCAGTTAAGACCAATGCTGGTTCCATAACTAAGTAATGATTATGACAATTTTTTGCTGCTTCTAAATTCTATAAATATTATAAATACAATTTATTCTTAATTTACTTAAATTTCGATCACTTATAGTAATCACATATAACCTGTTCGTTGTAACTTTCAAAATTTTCTTTTTGCTCATTTTCATCATTGACACTTCTAAAGGCGTACATCGCTTTCAAAGACTCCATCGATACGCCTTTCGAACAATTGGGACAATATGAGAAGGGTTCAAAGTATTTCACCAAATTCTCAACTACAGTTATGTCAGTTATGCGCAAAGCCTTTACGTTCAAAAAAACAAATATACATACATATATATATATATATATAAAGTAATTATAAACTAATCTTAAAATTTTTATTGTATACTCACCGCAAATATATTTTCTATACGAACAAGGCATTTGTCTTCGTCCGTGTACGGTTTTAAAATTTCAAATAGTTTCGATTCCACTAAGAAACCGGCACGATCGGATATTTTCTTTAATATATCGTGCAAATGATTGTAATTCATTTTTTTCTTCTTGAGATCTTCTTTTTGAGATTTGGCGGGTTTGGCGCCTAATAATAAGAAAAAAGCAGCTTAGCGATTAACTCTTTTTTAAGTCGTTAACTATTTCACGAATATTGGAAGAATTTGTGGAGAATTTCATTTCCGATTCTGTTCGCAAAACATTAGATGTACATCTATCCATGCACAATATGTACGTACGTTTGATCAATGGAAACGAACGAATCGAAGTAACCGTGATTTTTATCGCTAAGTTAAGAAAGTAAACTAAAGGTTGAAAGTTCATTCTTGTACACTTCAGCTTCTAACCTGTTATTTTATCGGATATATATTGAAATCATCTAAAATTACAATAAAAGAAGAAAAATCACTATTATAGGCCAGGGCTGACCATTAAATACCCTAAATCATGTCGCAGTTATTCGTATAACGATTTTTCAAATTAAGGCGATATTTGGAGAAAGTGGTGCGATGCATTGTCATTGTCAGTCATTTGGTCGAAACATAACAGTGTACCAGATTTTATCAAAATATCTCGAAAATTGCTCCTGAACACAAGGAAAAAATAAGATAGATAAACGGACAGACAAGTTTAGATCGAGTCAGAAAAGCATTCTGAATCGTTTGGTATAACAAAAGATAGGTAAGTAGGTTGTATACATCTACACAAACTTAATTTACCTTTATACCACAAGTGATGTAACTTAAAAATGTGACGTGTGAGTGATTTTAAAATCTTCTCAAACAAACATACATTCCAACTACTGTTTAGAAAATAGATTTTAAATGCAGCAAAGCATGCAAACTTAAGAGTTTCGTTAAATAACGGTTAACACAGTGTTAGGGCAGCGCCTTAGTGTAACATTTAATCAGTTCGGAATGTGCTGGTCATTTTGGAGCAGGCGAAGACGTATAATAAATATATCGAAAACGTACTCAAAACTATATACAGTAAACAAGTGGGACAAGGCCCATCATTAAGTATGTGTCATATAACGATGTTTCAAAGTATGGCGTTTTAGTGATATGGGAAGTAGTCAAGGGCGTTCGTCTTTGGACCATAACCAATCGGTGTACCGATGTGTACATCCGGAAAATTGCGATCTATAGATTGAACACAAGAAAGAGAGACAGACGCAACTAGGTTGATTCGGAACCACTTTCAGAAGCGATCGATGTAATAAATAGTAGATCGACCCCACGTTCATCTGGGTCTTACAGGTTTTTACCACAGGGAGTAAGGTGTAAGCGCTAATATATGAAAAAACAAAACATCACTTCCAGTGTTTCAATCTCAGCCTTTATCTTTACTTCTGGACTCATTACGAGGCAAATATTGAAGAGTAATTATAGTCGCATAGTCTTCTAATATATGTAGCTAAGTGGACTGCGCTGTCCGCATTGATCAAAAGTATATATATATATATTTTATTTGGTCTACGCGTTACGAACACGAACAACGGAAATAAAAAAAAAAAAAAAAAAACATAGGAATAAAATGTATTTACTAACAATGCTTTACAACTTTGATAAGTTGTAATTTATGTAAATCAATGTCTGGCCTTTCCCAGTCCCTGACTAATTGTTGCTCGTATAAAATTCGATCGATTTCCATAATGCTGGCAAAATATTCTTTCACTTCTTTAAAGTTAATATCCCAAATTTTGTGGAACTTTTTCAAATAAAAGGAAGAAAAAAAATGAAAAAAATTAATGAAAAAGGAATCAATTGCAAAAGTGCGATAAGATCATTATCCATTCGGTCGGTCAGTCAGTCAGTCAGTCAGTTTGAAGCATGTTCTTTTACCTTTTTAACGTTAGCTCGGCGAAAATTCTCCGCTTTCGAATGCATATCATTAATGTGGCCATGCAATTTGTGAATATCGTCGCTCAAATGATTCATAATTTGTTTATTGTTACGCTTCAATTGGATTAAGCGGCGTTTCATTGCAACAATATTCTCATTCAATTTTGCCACTCGGCGTTTTTGTTGATTATTAATGATGACATTTTCTTCATTTCGCTTTTGCAACACTTGATAATTGTAATCAATTTTCTCCGAATTTAATAACACATTCGCACGCGTTTTTCGTATTTCCAATTCCATTATTTCGGCATCCTTTTCTAAACGCACTTTAGTGGTACGAGTAATTTCCTCTTGCTTCGCGATAATGTTTTCCAATTTGTTTGCATAAAATTGTTGCTTCTCCTTGACTGTTTCCTGTTTTTCCTGCTCTTTTACAGTTAACGCGAAATATAGATCATTCCATTTTCGATTACATTCATCTTGAAATTTTTCCCTTTCATTATCGATCGTATTCTGAAGCTCGTAAATGTTTTCTTTATATGCCCTCTTCATAAGTTCAATTTGATTATCGATTCTCTCGATCAGGAAGTAAATATCGGCTGATTGTTTAGTTTGATCGGCCAAGTATTTCTCATTTACACGTTTCAATTCCTTTTGGCATCGTTCAATCATCTCATCTTTACTTTGAAATAATTGAAATATCGCTTCTTTCTGTCTTTCCAATTGTTCGTTAACGACCATAGGTTCTTTATGATGCATAATCATACCCCATTTTTCAGAGATTTTATTGAAATTTTTTAAAGATTCCTCAGCCTCCCGATTCAATGCTTCTTGCAAATCTACGAAATTTAATTTAAATACGAGAACATTGGAAAAATAATCATTTACAATTGCATAATTTATATATCATTAAATTAATTACCTTCAAATCTAGCAGTTTTGCTTTGAGTTTGTATTACTTCTTGTTTCTCATTATAAATCTTAATATTGTTAACGAGTTCATTGCCAAAACTTAAAAGATCTTCTAAACGGGCGTCACTTTTTTCCAACTGCAGTTCAATGCCGGTTTTGCCACTTTTTGCACCCCTAGCAAAAGCAATTTAAAAAATTAATATTAATTATAAATAATAGAAGATCAAATTTTACTTTTAGCAAGAGATGAGCGGGTACACTAAGTTCACTATACTACATTTGAGACTATATTCATTGGAAACCCAAATTCCTTACCAACTTCGGGATCTCCGAGGAGACCATTACATAGGGCAGCGTAGAGAATCGCCCCGGATGAAAATATGCCGTCTATTCGTGTAAGAGTTAAGTACATGCTATTCTTTACTGTGTAATCGTCTGAGGAGTGTCCGTGAGGCAAAATTTAAATCCGTACGTTAGTCTTAACAGCCCTCGATCCTCACAAAGCGCAACTGAACAGTGGCTCCAAATATATTAAACTTCCTGTTCGATCTTTTGATGAGTTAGACAGACGGATGCACGATTGCGTTATATAAAAGTTTCCTTAGTATAAAAGGTTTACGCACACACTTCTTGCCTTCCGGACAAGGCTACCTTTTCAAATTTTTTACTTTTTTTTTTTGAGTGGACTAAGCCCATGAGAAATATGAGTCCATATAATAAAATATGATCATAATGTACTGCGTATATATATGCACGTATATATTTATTTTAAGATTAAAAAAAAATTGTGACTATTATTATATGTTGCGGCGTAAAGGGATATATAGTGATGTAAGAATGATGTTGCAAACTTTGGCTAAAACAAGACTTTTCTAGAGGTAAAAATAAAGTTAAGCAATGGTAAAAAGTTATCATGAGTTGAAAACACGAGATGAGCATAATTTTTTGCCCATTTAAACTAAAAAGGCTGAAAGAACTTGCTATAACTGTAGACCTGAGATATTAGGCACATTCGCTTCAAGCTTAGCACATATCATTTGTGTAGCACGAATCATTTTTAAATCTTCTTCTTTTTTTTAATTTAAAACGTAGAGATGCGAATTAATAGTTTGCGTGAGAAATAAATTATGATTATATCTAGTTTTGGTTCAGAGGTTTTTCTTTTCTGAACGAAAAAATAGCTTCTCCCCAGTTCCCATTTTGGATGCAAATTTGAGTATCTTCTTGGAAACCGCTTATACATAATTTAATTGCTTAAAATTCGAACTTTCGTTTCACTTTCCTTTTAAGAAATAAATTAACAAAATATGATTAAAATAAGGAAACTAAAACCCATTTTTTGCTAAAATAGCGATGGTTGTACTGTCCTTTTATAGTGGTCAATTTATATATTGGATCCGAAATTAGAAAATTTAAAAAAAATAGTCTAGAAAATCTACTTCTTAGGCCGTTTAGAATTTGAACAAGGTTTCGCAACAGATTTAATCGGTTTTAAATCTTTGCCTAACATTTCCGAATCATGAAATCTTCAAATTTCAAATGAGAAAGGATTGAACATACATGGTTAAAATTCTCAATTTCACGGTAATAAAGAAAACCGTAGACGCTTTTGACGGATGCTTTTACTCTTGATTCCTGAATCAAAAGCAAAGATTGCAAGTACAAATTTTAAAATATTTTCTTCTTATGTATATGCAGAGATACTTACCCTTCGACAGTCGGTTCTTGTAATTTTTCTTCAAGTTGTTCGCGTAGTAGGTGACTCCGTTTATCAAATGCATGATCATAATTTTGGGAATCTTTGCTGATATTATACGGGAAAAAATCAGTATACAAACTGTCTATTGATACATCTTTTTGGGCTTCTTCTACTAACTCTGTTGGACATTCAGTATCCATTATTTTTATCAAATAAAAATTTATATAAAAATATTTCCGTTGGTTCTTTTGTTTTGCATATAAATAATATAATTGTAATTTTTTTTCTGTTATTTCTGTTGCTATGTTAACTTGTAAAACAGGGTTGTTAAACTCCGTTAAAAACGACAAGAAAAGTATGTTAAAAACTATGAGTAAGCATTCATTGCCAAGGGTATAAAAATAATAACTGCCTTATAAGAAAGTCAATAAAATTATCCGTTAAAGAAAATACTTTTTAAAAGTACAGGATAATTATATTTAACTTATGAGTCTCAAGCCTGTATTTAAATTTTGCTTACAATTTGTTAATTAACTGATATAGACTGCTGGATGGGCTTGGATCTTGTGTCAGTTACACATAATAATTTATCACACAATTCTTTAAAACTCAAAAAGGAAAATTCTTTACAATTCAACCTTGCTTAGCGAGCTTATAAAAAAGCCAACTGTGTATTCTTGTGTACAGCATTGCCAGTTCTTTAGATGGCAGTTGTCATTTTCAAGCAAGTTCACTGAACATTAGTTGACAGCTGGTAAAGTTTCTTTCTTTCCGAATATCAAAATGACGGTGCGTGCTGTTTTTTATTTTAAGCAAACTGAAATCTGAATGCATCCAATAAATCTTTTAAACAACATTTCATAATAATATTGTGAGATTATCGCAAGAATTCTAAATTTACTAATTGCAGTGTTATTAAATTGATTTGAATGTGTCCGTTATCTGTAATAGAGTTAACAGTTTGTTTCTCTTTTCGATTGCGTTATTTTAGGCCGCCGCTAAAGCAGAACCGGTGAAAAAAATTAAGCGAGATCCTGCTAAGAATCCTATGAGAGAATTGCACATTAGGAAATTATGTTTGAATATATGTGTAGGTGAATCTGGTGATAGACTTACTCGTGCCGCTAAGGTAAGGTTTTCGTTAAACAATTCTAATCAAATTAATTCTAAACATTTTCCTTTACATATTGTTTAGGTATTGGAACAATTGACTGGTCAGCAGCCAGTTTTTTCAAAAGCACGTTACACTGTGCGATCGTTCGGTATTCGCCGTAATGAGAAAATTGCCGTGCACTGTACGGTACGTGGCGCTAAAGCTGAAGAGATTTTGGAACGAGGTCTTAAAGTGCGCGAATATGAGTTGAGACGTGATAATTTTTCGACCACCGGCAATTTTGGTTTCGGTATACAAGAACATATCGATTTGGGCATCAAATACGATCCATCAATCGGTATTTACGGTTTGGATTTCTATGTAGTCCTTGGTCGTCCAGGTAAATATATATATATATGTTGTGTAGTTTATCGCCTACATATCTGCACGAAATTAGGTGTGTTTAAAAATTATTAAATTCTTTAAAGGCACTCAGTCAATGTGCAAAGAAAAAATCTAATGGTGCTTAATGTGTTTTCGTGACTAAATAAAATGCAAACACACGGTTCTATTCAAACAAAATTTTCTATTAATTCCCTATAGAAAAATAATTTATTTTGTTTAATTGTCGTGGGACACAGCGGTACATCGTTCATGTCCGCGTGAAACTCATCTATAGCCTTCTTTTTTTTTGGCGCTTAACGATCTTCCTTTTTTTTCTAGGTTATAATGTTGCTCATAGGAAACGTAAGGCGGGCAAAGTTGGTTACCCTCATCGCCTTACCAAAGAGGACGCAATGAAATGGTTCCAGCAGAAATATGATGGCATTATTCTTAATAGTAAAAAATAAAAAAAGCAAAAGTTATTTCCTTTTCCATATAAATGCGTGCCTTTTATTTATATTATGGTAACAATGCAGGCGTTTTATAAAAGAAAATAAAACATTTTAAATTTATTCTAGTGAGTTTTCCTTAAGCATGAATGAGCTACCTCCTTCCCTACGTTCAACCTGGGTGTGTTCACATAGATATTGCAAATTAGTGTGGGTTACGATACATTTTCTATTTACTTTGAGATAGAAAATATAAATATCACAAGATCTTGGAAATTTGTTTGTAAACGCAGACATACGTTATTGTTTAAAAATGTAAGTTCGCAGGCTTTGCGAACACGTTTGTGATACGGGCAAATGCAGCTCCGAAGGTTATTTTCAATTTATAGTTTGCCTATAAAGTAAAAAGTTAATCAGTTTTCGATCAAAAGAGACTTTGTATCTAGAACGTTCCGTTTATTTCTCTTCGCAAGGGAGAACTTTGTCTTCCCATTGTCACAGAAAATATTAAGATTTTACAGGACTTGGGCTTTAATTCTACTGCTCATTAGTTCGTTTCACGTCTAATTACAAATTAAATTTTTCGAATATCTTTTAGTTCGTAATCTAATGAGGGCGGGCGAGTTTGTGAAGAACGCTGAAAAGTCTGTAAAAAAAAGAAGCTTACTTTGCTCTATGAAAGATTTTGAAAAAAATTTTTAAGATAAAAAAGTTGTGTGTTGTAGCCACTTCTTCTTTTATTCTCTCTATTATTTTTTATACTTATAAGATCTTCCACTTCGCTCTCCCTCTCTTTTAATATGACGAAGGAGATTGTGGATTGTTGATCGGCGATAGATTGGAAAATAATATTCTTCTTGCTTAGTAGAGTTTAATAAACGGAAATGAATTTACTTACAACTCCTTCTTAAGTACCATAGAATTTCTTTATTATTTCGCTTATTAAGAGTTTATTTTCTATGAAGCAGCATGATTGCTGATTCAGCAGGAAATAAATTTTTTTTTGTTGTTATTATTTATACAACTTTTCTATAATTTATATTATTAATTTATAAATTTCACAATTTGAAAAAAAAAATCATTTTATTTAAATTAACGAAATAATTATATGAAAATAAATTAAATAATAATAGCACGAAATCGCTTGGGTTATATGAATCGTTTCTACACTTTATTGTAAAAGAATTTTGATGTAAAAAAAAAAAAACGAAACAGAAACGGAAAAAGTTCATACATTTACAAGTTTTTACTTATCCTGTTAGTCATTTATTTCTTGACAATAATGTATAATAAAACATAAAAAAAAAAAAAGTATATCTTTATGCTTATATTATAACAAAATTTAAAATTAAGACATTCAATATTCATTATGCCGATTATTTTATTGTTGCTCGCTAATTAAATATGATTTTTGTTGAGACTTTAATGCTTAAAACAATGATTTTCAGACGCTCTCATGATCAATTTTTTGCAATAATGTTTTTTCGTTTGCAAAATCACACGCACACTTCACTTATTGAAAAAAGTTTATGTAATCACTAATAAAGAAAGAAAAACACCCTAAAGGAAAATCGAAATTTACATAAAACTGGGCTTTTAGCTTAAGCTTATTAACGTTGGTGCTGTTGTTGGTATTTTGGGCATAAAGATCAAGAACTGCTGCCGTAACCAACATTTCCTTTCGGTGTTGTAAATAGTTGAGCTCGCATTCTTTAGATATATAATTACACATCCATCCATCCATCCATCCATCCATACAAACACACACATACATATACAAAAAACACGCATGAAATGGAACAGAGACAGAGAGAAAGAGAATTTTGAAAATATTTTACATTTACATTAACAAATTGCTTGAGTTGAATCATTACACGGTGATGCAGCTGGAGGTTGATTAACGCCGGGTGCGGTATTGACATTTGAGCCCTTAACAGGGGTGTTGCTACCACCATGCATATTATTGGCTCCACTCCCGGAATTGTTAGTATGGGCCATCCATGAAAGAAAATTTCCGCCCTGAGGCGAAGAAATTAATAAATAATTCTAAAGCTATAAAGCGACTTTCCTTAAATATTGAGAACTCACCTGATCTTGAGTCTGATTTTGTAGCTGATTGCCCAAAAGGCTCCATTGATTAAGAGCAGCTGCGACTATAGCTGGATTCATGGGCAGCGAGTTTAAGTTAAGACCCACACCGAGAGAATTGTTCATGTTCTGTCCAGGCGCCGCAGATTTCGGTCCCTGCGAATTAATGCCTAATGTTTGAAGATTGGGCATATCCAAATTTCGATTCTGATGATTATTCCAACCGCCACCATTATTATTACCATTAATACCATTGCCCTGATGCGGCCCCGGCATATGATTATTCATATAGTTGTTCCCGTTGCCCCTTTGATATGGTCCCATTGCCGGTTCCGAATTCCGACTAGGACCCCCTGCACTACCGCCCATCATGGCATTCATGCCCATATTTCCTCCCGGATTGCCGTAATTTTGACCATTACCACCAAAATTGCCGCTATTCATACCGTAGCCTCGCATATTCATCATACCGTTACCGTTCTGGTTCATCATGTTACCATCGCACCGATTTCCTTTTTTATAGGATCCTCGATGTTCACCCACCCCGTGTCGTCCACCACCAAAATTTATAGGGCCCGAGTGGGGAGCTAAACTAACAGAACCGGGAGAATTTCTACCACGATTTTGTTCACCTTTTGGTGCTGCATTAGACACGTGAACAGAGATGCCTAGACGAAAAAAATATTAAAAAGGACGATGTATAAAATTTGATATATTCTTACCTTTTATTATATGGTCCTCGCCGCACAGCGACTGAGCCACTTCAGGATCAAGGAAAGTTACGAAACTAAATGCACGAAAAGGTTTAGGTATAAAAACGTCTGTTACTTCCCCGAATTTTGAAAAGTAATCTTTTAAGTCATCAGCGTTCATATCCTCAGTACATCGCCCTACAAATACCTTGCAAGGTACCTGATTAACCATACCCTATAATTACTCTTAAACACATATCATCAAAAAAAATTTTAAACGAACTAACCTTAGAGTTAGGTACTTTCACTTCACACCAGCGGCCATCGATTAAATGTCTTGTAGATAATACCCGCACCTGTACATCATATGAACCGAATCGCACAAATCCAAAACCTTTTGATTGTCCCGACTTCATATCTTTTTTAATCTGAGTCATTAACACTTCGCCATATGTCTCAAAGTATGAACGTAAACTATCCTCAGTGGTTTTCCAAGGCAGGCCTAAGACAATTAAATCCGTGCAACGCGGACGTGATTCAATACGTTTCGTTTTGGCAGTTGAATTTTCCAAATTATCATCACTTTTGCGTTTATTTTCTGAAAATTCAAAGTGAATAAATCATACGGTTAAGGAGTTTTCAAAAGTTCCGTTGCAACCTTTCGGAAATACACAATAGTAAGCATGTGAACCCCAGCCGATTTCTACGTAGGGTGGGAAAAATCTACCCTCATTCGAACGTACCCCGCGAAAGCACTTTGTTTCTTCATTAATATATTTAAGCCCACAAGCACCTGGAAATAAACGGTGGAAGTTGTATTGAAACCCAAAAAAGTAGAAATTTGTTGTGCTTTTATAAGAAATAAAAGGTGGAAGTTGTATTGAAACCAAAATAAGTTGAAATCAGCTGTAACAAATAAACAAAT